AGGATCAGCCCTGTCCATCCAATATTGTTATCCAGTACTTGACAGTCTGGACTACTGGTTCAAAACCTCATCCTTTGTGCCTTGCCTACTACACCTCAGTTTCCACCCCTTATTCCAATATTGTCTCCTGCTATTCAACCGTGGGTTAGTTTATCATAAATCAATAAGATGGCGTTTAGTAAGTAGGGGTGGACTCGGGTCGGGCCAACCGGCCTGGAACCGGACCGGCCCGCTACGGTGCGGGCCCGGCCCGGCCCGGTGAACCGGTTGGTTGGCTGGTTCGGGCCACCTGGCCCGGTGGGGTCTCGGTTCGGGCTCGGGCCCTTCAAAAAGTGAACCGGCCCGGCCGGTTCGGGCCAATTTTAATTTTTTTTTTAAGTTTTTGGGTTGGGCTGGGTATTTTGGGCCATTTGAGGTGGTTAGGGTTGGTTTGGGGGTGAAGGGAGGTTTGGGGGTGAACTAGGAAAAGCCCAAAAAAAAAAATATAACCGAGGCCCGGTCTGGCTTGGACCCGAGGGTTACCTGGGCCGGTTCCGGGCCTCCCATACCTTGAACCGAGGCCTGGCCGATTCAAGGCCCGAACGAGTCCATCCCTATTAGTAAGACCTAAGAAGTGAACTTGTTACTTTACATGTGAAATGTAGAGAGAGTTTACATCTTTTGTTTAGATTATTTAATATGAAGGGTAACGCATTTTTTATTGTAACTAGGCCAACCTGCCCACATAGACTGGGTAACCTCGTGGCTCCTTTGTTGGTTTACACAATAAAAATTTGCATGTGAAGTAATGTATGTTGTTAATTTTTTGTTAATTTTTTAAAATTATAGCAGTCATTATAGTACTTTATAAAAAGTACCCATCAGTTAACATGATTCGATACGGAGGCATAAGGAAAAGAAAATAAAAGGATAAGATATGATAAAAAAAAGTAAGATAAAAATGTGATAAAGATAAAAATGATAAGATAAAAAGGACAAAAATAATATAGATAAAAAGAGTATAATATAGATAAAAAGGGTTAAAGGATAAAGAAAATAAGAAAGATACATAAGATAAAAAGATAGATGGATCAAAAGATGAAAATAATTAAGTAAATATGAGTAAACATATTTTGTTATTGCAAAAAAAAGTATTGTGTTTTTATTCCAAATAAGACAATGTATTGTCATATTTAAAATTTATTAATGTCGAAATGCGACATTAAGTTTCTAGGATTTTTTAGAATGATAGTAACGAATTCCTATTTATGTGGGAGAGTAGTACTCTTATTTTGAGATTTTACATTGTTTTTATTCATATTTTTGGAACTTGCTTGTTCTTTATTTCTTTGAAGAAAATTGTTTTAACTAGTTAAATGTAGATAGAGTATAGTTAAATGTACATGGAGTAATACTTTAAAAAGTGATGATACCCCCATTCTTTAGGGCCCCCAAAATTGAGTAGACAATATAAATTTTGATGTATACATTTTTTTAGAGGTCAATCTCATGTACTATTTTTTTTAATCCCGAAAATACACCGCTAGACGGTGTGGTAAATGTCAAGGAACATTTACGGGGTGTATTCAAAACACAGAAGGTTACATACAAAGCTAGTTGGACCACACATGGCCCAATCTCCATATTTTGATGTATACATTGTGTACAAAGTTTCACACAGGTAAGTATGTGAGGACACCAGACAAATGGTAAACGGTAATGAGTAATGACATGCATAATCTCTTGAGACTTGAGTGATACACTGATACTGCCACTAATATTGAGACTAAGAGGGGCTGACACGCTTATTATGAAAAATGAATTTAATATGATTGATATTGAATTGATAAAGTAAGAATAAAATAAAAATGATTTAGAATACTACCACTTTTACCAAATTTGGTATGAGATAAAATTAATAACGACCTAAAATATTTAATAGAGAGAGTACTTAATATTTTGGGAAAACTATCAAATAAGCCCCGTACTATACCGAAAAAGTCGATTAAGCCCTTCTACTTTACAAACACTCAATTAAGTCCTCGAATTATTAAAAAACGTTCAATTAAGCCCTAATTGACTTACCGGTTACTTACCGACCGAAAAGGTTTAATTGAACGTTTTTAATAGTTCGAGGACTTGATTGAATGTTTGTAAATTACAAGACGTAATTGACTTTTTCGGTATAGTACAAGAGCTTATTTGATAGTTTTCCCTGATATTTTTGTACAAAAATATTTTGTCTGCGATCAAGACAAAAGTTAAGAAGAATTGAGGAGTTTGAGTGGTCTAAAAAATGTGTTGTTCAGTAAAAAGTGGAAACGAATGAGCACAACATAAACAATCTCATATGGTCAGGAAGAGGGCGACGGATGGGATCGACCTAGATTTCATTACTGATTCATTCTGAAAGGTTGAAAACCCCGATTCAAACCGGTGCTGATGATGGCCACCGCCGTCGCATCAACCCATCAGTGCCACCTCCTCCGGCTAGTCCTATCCTGCCGCAAAATTACAGCTCAGGTGACCCACCCCCAGACGGCCTCCATCGTCGCGATGGCTTCATCGGCCGAGCAAGAGTTCGCGGCTCAGCATAGAACCAAGTTGAACCGCTTCCCCCGGTCCCACAACTTCTGGGATTCCAAGATCGCCGCCAGGGTCGGCGAGAAGCTCGGCCACCGCCTTCACGAAGCCGGTGTCTTGCAAGTAGAAATTGATCACCAGGAAGAAATCGCCAGGCCCATTCACCACCGTAAGATGGTGTCGCCGCTCTTCGATGCCGTTAAGCGCGCCGGTATCGGGTTAGAAGGTGCCGAGAAATTGGAGGCCTGGACTTTGAGCTAGTTTTTGGGTCGTTTAGCTATTGGGCCAGTGAAAAATCATGATAGGTCTGGGCTTTGAGATCCAGTTAGATTACTACAGACATCCAACCAAAATCTTATGTAGTACGGAGTAGTAGTACTACTCCATATATATCCCAAGGATCTTATTCTCAGAACAACTAACAAATCAAATTCAATTTTGTATTTCTTGATTTCCCTACTTTCAGACAAGCTTGTTATGTTTAATTTGTTAGCCACTGATGTTGAATTTGGTAATATTTTTTTCTGCAAAATGATATATGTAGTATAAAAGTAAAATAAAAAATCTTGAAAAATGCTACTCCATATTATGGACAGCATAACTTATGATTTCATTTAAAAAGTATTGACAATTTTTTTTAAAACAAAAGTGATGAAATGAGTGTATGAGCATGCATAAATAGATGTCACTAAAGTCTAAAGTCGTACTCACTACATTCTCATTTACATCCTATTTTTCCAATTTAGCGAAATTGGAATTTACATTCCTTTTTTCAAAAAAATAAAAAATAATGTGCACATCTTATTAGATTATAAAATTTAATGTTGCACCTAATTCTTTTTGAACGAGTGGGTGTGTATAGGCATGGACTCGGGCCGGGCCGGGGCCGGGTCGAGCCCGGTCGGGCCGCCGGTTTGTAACTCATGGACCCGGGACCAGCCCGAGGTTTGGACGGGTCCGGTTCAGCCCGGGCCACCCGCCCGGGTCACGGGTTCGGGCCACCCGCCGGGCCGGGCCGGTTAAAACAAATTTTTTATTTTTTTTTAATTTATACTTTATAGTTTTATTCAAATATTAAAAACAAATTTCAAGTGCATTTATTTGAAATGAAATAGGAACTACATTTGAAAATTAAGAGAAACATACAATATGAAATACATTTTGAAATATGAACTACAAGTTTACAAGTTACAATTGAGAATTGAAGGTAAAATTAAAACATGAAATACTAATCAACCGGAATCTCCGACATAGGTAGAGCCACCCTCCGACATAGGTAAAATTAACTAGTTTTTTAAACTAGACTCAAAGGTAGCAATTAATAAAAAATTGTAATAAAGTAATTAACTACTTTAATGAAAAATTAAACAATCCGTGTGAAAACAAATTAACTAATCAACTAGTTTTTTGTACTACCTTTTTTTTAAGAACAATCAAATTATTATAGTTTAACTTTAACTATAATGAGAATTAACTAGTTTTTTTTCAAGTAATGGTAATACAAAATTAAACAAGTGTAAATAATAGAATGATTTCGTACCTTTCGGACTTTCGGTCTTTCGGATAATCGGATGGGAGTAATAGAATGACTTCAAATTAATTAGATATAATTCCAACTATATTAATAGATATAATAAATGTATAAGTAATATATAATTAGATAAGAAATATAAGTAATATAATGTATGTATTTATAAATTATAAGTAGATAATTAATATAAAGTAGATATATAAATATAATATATTCGAGAATAAGAGAATTAGAGAGTAGAGAGTTAAGAGTAGGATTTAAGAAGAATTGGAGAAGAGATATGGAAAAATGTTTAAGATTAGAAGTATTTATAGGGGTTTTTTACCCCACCCCCACCCCCCAAACCCCCCGGACCCCCTGCAGCCCACCCAACGGTCATCTTTGGCCCAATTTTTTTTTAAATGTAGCCATTGTGACCCGGACCCGACCCGGCCGGGCCGGGTCACATTTTCCATGAACCGAGCCCGCCCCCGCTTCCCCCACGAACCGAATCCATCCCTAGGTGTGTACACCATTTCAAATGAAATTGAAGTGCAAAGACTAATATGAAGTATTATCTAACTTATGAGGTGTAAAGTCAAATTCTCCTACTATCATTTTGTGATTAAACAACATAATTTAAGAAAATGAAAAGTAATAAAATAATCAAATTTCAATGTTTTATCAAAGAACCCTCATTAAATGTTGCCAATAATGTGCTCAAAGTAGAGGTCCCCCTGGCCACTTTTGGGTCCCACACTCTCTCTAGTCCCTACTTGAGACCAGCATCCAGTACTCCAGTTACTAGTCTGGGTATGGTCTACCCAATATGTTATGGACCTATGGTCCAGTTCCGAGTTAGATCCTAGCCAGCGCGCCCAATTCCGTTGGTAATATGATCCCCCCCACCCCCCACCGAAAGAAAAAGTTTAGATGAAGTCCACCTAGATAGTTAAACAAAAACAGGAGTTGTAGTTTGCAAAGTAGAAGTGCTAATTTACAGCATGTCTTGAATGGAATAAGGAACAAGTTACCATCAAGGCATGCCTTTCCTACATAAAATCTCAGAACATTAGTGGAAAATACCATTCTACAGAGGAGCACTACATCATGTTAAGCTACAAGTCTCCCTGTAAGTAATCTGGGGTGGGGCATAACTAAGTAGCTAGCAATTTTGCCTCACTCAATTTGGCTATTTTGGCCATCATATATGAAGCCGCGTTCTCTCTTGCTTCGGAAGGATTTGGGCATACACTGCCTTGACACATATGGCACCCTTCTTTAACCATAACATTGGCAGCAAATCCATCTGCGAAGTGCGAAAAACTCATCAAGTATGATCTATGATCCAGTGAATGATCAAGTGTTCTAAAAATATCTTCCCCAAAATGCTCCACCTAACAGCCCAGGCTCCGCCTTGAGCTTTTTTTAGAATGTTCTAGATTAGTATTGTACCTTTATACGGAAAGACTTGATATCTTGGAAGTTTCCACTTCATCTGACGACACAATTCATCCAGTTTCTGCACATTCAGTTGATTAGTAGTCTGTTATATATCCAGTAATAAAAAACGGGAAATCATGAGAAAAACAAAACTCAGCATTATGTATACAGTAGCATCATCCTTTAATATAGGAAAAGGGCCAAATATGCCTTTCTAGTTTCTACTATTTCAAAATCATCACCTAGACCCATATACTTGTGTCATATAAATCTCTCTGACCCATATGACATGAATGTGACCTGATTCAGCATATAAAAGTGATATGTTGCCCTTATAAGAAATCCAAATCATCTCCTTTTATTCACATGGCTGTTTCTTTTGCTCTTCGTTTCTTTCCATTTCTCCTCTTTTTCCTTGTTTTCTTCCACTGTTTCATAGTATGGTTTCTGCCATTGCTCTCGCCTCCTAAAGCTTCTATCCTAGGCAGGTCATTTATCTTCTTTTCTTGGTCTTGTTTCCGCCAGATCGTGCTATCTACAAGTACTCAGCTTCTTCTATTTTGAGTCGAGTAAAGAGTAAGGCAGCACACACTGAACATAGAGTGGAAGAAGAGGCTTCATAATGGTCTAGAGCTGGACAGAAACAAGAGCATGGAAGAGAAGGAGAAAGAGAGAAAAAAGAAAAGGAAATCGAAAAGAAAATCAAAGGTCATATAAGCAAGTCACCTCCTAAAGCGCGAACTTTATGTCATCTTGAGTAAAATGATCTTTGTTTACGTAGACAGATTTATCAGACATTTTTCAAGTACAAGGGTCTAGGTGATGAATTTAAAATAGTAAAATAATTACTTGACCCTTTCTCCATTAAGATTTAATTGTTCTAAGTTAAACAATGATTCATTCGTAATCGCTTCGTATGTTACGTCATAGTGTGGTGAGTATAGGTCTCTAATCAGTAGATTCGATGCTCTGATGGTGAAGCACATTTGCAAACACTACTCTATAATACTATGGCCTTTATTAGTTACAACAGTTTGAGTTTTACGCACTATTTACATAACAAAATATGTACAAAACTGTTTAAATGGTCTCAATGTAAATTTGCAAAAAAGAATTATCTATGGTTTTTATAAATAATCAATTATATAAATGGTCAATGTTATGCATTAGCAAACGTAAAAATGATATTGTTACAACTAAATAAGAATGGAGGAAGTACATTGGCTAAAGGCTTTCTTCTAATGCCTACAATAACCTCAAGCACCACAATATTTCAGATTCAACCAAAAAATTTACATTACAAAGTACTAGGAGCATCACTCCAGCTATAATAGCAAAGCAGAAACGAGAAACCCAAAAAAGAACAGTGAAGCCGATAAGATAAAAGATACAGAGCAAGTATAAATGATATTACCTTGCAATGGTTTTCCACACTGACAATGGCCTCAGACAAACTCTCTTCTTCAAGTGGTTGACTACTTCTCTGTTGAACTTCTTCCTTTCCCAGATAGGGATTGTCAGTATCTTTTGTAAGTTCTGTCATTTGATGAATCATTTTCATCACCATTATGAGCATAGAAAGAAATACTCTGTCCATCATATTTATCTTTGTCCAATCTTTCCATTTTCATTTGTCCCACCAAGTTCTTTTCATGCCAAAATTGGTAACATTTGTATGGTTCAAACTCATTCATATCTACAAATTCAGTATTGACCACATAATTTTAATTTCATAAATATGGGCTCCACTTTCATGTCCCAATGATAACGAGGCAGAGGTAAAACGCAGACATAAATCCTTCATTGGTTTCTAGTGCTACTTTTGTTCTCTTTTAACCTTCATTTTAGATAGAGAAGTTGTTTTCAAACAACCACCACTTTAGGATAGCATTAATTGCTCATTTTCCACCATTACTCTTCTCTATGTAAGAATGTTACATAGAACTACTTCCGTCCCACTAACATTGGGACATGAGGCGGTAATGTGATTATTAAGAAAAGTGAGTTTATGTGGTTGTTATTGAATTGATAAAGTAAGAATAAAGTAAAGGGAAAAGGTGCAAGCAGGCCCTCGAACTAACCGAAAAAGTGCAAATCACCCCTTTTATAGGAGGCTGTCTGGCCATCACCATTTGGGACGGTTACCGGTGGAACTTTTTGATGAATTTTTTTGAGCATCTTTTTCATTAAGTCTAGTTTACTCATACCAAATTTCAGGTAAAAATTCAACCGGAAAGGCAGCCAAATGATTTTCTGAAATATACTGCGTTGTTTAACTGCGCAGTTATCTTCAAACATTTATTTGACTGCCTTCACGATTGAATTTTTAATTGAAATTTGGTATGGGTAAACTAGACTTAATGAAGAAGATGCTCAAAATATTTCATCAAAAGATTCCACCGGGAACCGCCTTGACGGCCGGACAGAACCTCCTATAAAAGGGGTGATTTGTACTTTTTCGGTTAGTTCGAGGGCTTATTTGCCCATTTTCTCTAAAGTAAAAAATGGTTTACCAAATTTGGTATGGGACAATCTTAGTGGGACGGACCGAAAAAGAAAGACGAGACAATCTTAGCGGGACGGAGGGAGTACTTAAAAACAACAATAAGGGTATTCCGGTTGATTTTTAAACTTGAAACATATTTATTAAGGAGAACTTTCTAAATATGCAGCGGCATTAGTGCCTAAACTTTTGGTTAATGGACAGATTCATTTATATAAACAATGTGAAAATGGAAGTAATAAAAGGGAATAGAAGTCCAAAAAGAACCTTTTTCAAAGCCCATTCTACATATTGATCCAAGTGTAAATACAATTCTAAGATAACCTTTTTCACTGAAAAAGACTACTATACTACTATCCCAGTCGGAAAAAAATCTATACGCGCAGACATGGGTCTCTGGAAAAAATCAGACACGGGTGAATCGACATGAGGCAACAACTATGGTTTTCTTTGCAATGCACACGGACGTGAGGCTGTATGTTCATTTGGGCTGCACCCAATCCTAAATAGATAAATTGATATTGAACCATGGTCCATGGAGCTACTACAAAGCAGCAACAGCAATTACAGAGTTCCACAACTGTCACGGGTAGCGATGAGAAAAGGATAACACTTGTTACAAATAAGAATTTCATACACCAAACTCGATTGAAACCTACTCCAACTGAGACCGATGAAAAGGTTTAATAATAAAATTTTCAGAGCAATCGCAATGTTAATAAATCCATACCTAGATTGCATGAAAATGCAAAGGATTAAATTAGTAGTAATTGTGTCTTTCAAACAAGCCAAAATTCAATAGGTGTCGTTTTTCTAGCACGATTAGTGAATCAGCCAATTATGAATTAGCTAGTCCTTAAATATTTACCTCCTTTAAAAGAACAGTGCAAAATTTCCAATAGCTATAATTCCAGTTTCAATTAATTGGCTCAAGTAAAAATGGCCAATTACCATTGAGGCAACTTAGACGAGATAAGAGAAAGATCAAACCATTTAAGGCAGCATCAATATCCATGTCGCACCGCAAAATTTCAGCACTCACCCTCTCATGTTGCTCACACTGAGTTTAAAAAAATCAAAGCAAAGTTTACATCATCAGCTGCAGTGGTAACTGCTACTCAGTAACTAGCATCTGTAGCACAGTGAAATGCACTTCTAAAATGAGAAATATGACAACTAAAGAATTAAATCTCCTCTTTCAAGTCCACAATGAAAGCACACAGAAGAGAAAAAAAAGGACTACAACTATTGTCCCAAAAAAACTAATGTGATCAAACGGATCGAACGGAAGTGCTTTTCTAAAAAAAGTAGGATTCACAATTTGTGAATTTTCATGCAGGTTACATATCATAAATTTAGTTATAAACCAGCAAAAAAGGATTTTGAGAAGTATTAGTTGGAGACATGATGTATGACCTTGTACCTAACCAAAACTTAAAAGTAACTTTTCTTTTACCTCAGTGAATAAAACTCTTTTTTGGTACTACCTCCGTCCCGTTGGAAGGTTCTCATAGCAAAACGACACGGTTATTTAGGCAATAAATAAATAAAGTACTTTGAGTATATTTTGAGAAATAATTTTAATAGGTATATATTATAATGTAGTTAGTATTGATAACTGTGATGTTATACATGTATAATTTTTAATATTTAATGATTAATTTGTCACTTAAGATTGTTAATTGTTTCCTAAAATGGAAATGGGAAGCTTCTAACGGGACGTCCAAAAAAGGAAAGTGGGAACCTTCTAATGGGACGGAGGGAGTACTTTATATTAGAATATAAAGAAGAATAAGAGGCACTCTCGTCCAACAGGAATTCAAAAGATGATGGATGCAAGATTGAAAGACAGATAGCTCATAAAGGTTTAATTAGTACTTCTAGGAAAACACAGGAAGTAGGAGGAATTCAATGACTTCAGAAAGTTAGTACCAGCTTCTGCCTTAGGTGGTAAAGAATTCTCAAGATAGTACGGGATGATGCATTTCCAGAAGTTGAGGTAGCATTTAGCCTCTCATGATGTTGATTTTGTGCTATAAGACTCTCCGTACAAGAACCGCCTCCCTGCATAAAACTCATGTCATTATTGCATCCATCATCACAAGGTTTTGAAAGAGATTCGCCTATATCTTCCAGTCAACAAGTGTATACACATATTAAAATAGCAAAACATATCAAACTGTATTCGATCTACTCATTTACTCCCTCCGTCCCGCAATTAAGTTACCACTTTCCTTTTTGGGCAGTCCCTAAATTAAGTTCACACTTCCTTACTTTCCTTATTTGGCTAATTATCTACATCAAAACAGTGTCAAACAGTGCCAAACAGTGTTTGAACAGTGCAAAACAGTGCCAAACAGTGTTTGAACAGTGCAAACAGTGCACTCCACAGTAAAGTCAAATTTATTTTCTTAATCTGTGTGAAGTCAAACAGGTAACTTATTTTGGGGACGGAGGGAGTAATAAAATTCTTTAATAAACTTGAGAAGGGAGAAATGTAAAGATAATAGAAGTTTGCTACACAAGCTTTCAAGAAAAATACAAAAGATGTACATTAACATATTAAAGTAGCCCAGTAAGTCAACTGTGTATAAATAGATGAGGTTTGGTCGAAGTTACTGAATGTGGTTGGACAGTGCATGTCTTTGTGCTTGCCATTAGATCGAGCTACCCGAGATTCCCTGATACGGGTCTCAATTTTATGGTCGCGCAACCAGGTGAGCACCACTCGATGGGTAGCATCAAATGTTTAAAGCTCCAATACATGACACAGAACCTTTCAAGACCAGCAGGTATTGTGAGTGACATTTAATGCCAAAATATTTGAAGCAGTATAGCATGTGCAAACAAGCATAACACTCAGCACAGAGTAGGCTTAAATTTCAGATTATAACACAGTGATGATGCCAAACTTGAACTCATGAGCTAACAGTTGACAGTTACATGGCAAACCAAAGATAAAAGACATAGTCGAGCAAAGGTTTAGAACACCTACCTCAGTCGCACAATTGCCTAATGTCATTCTATGATCCTCTTTTAAAGGTAAACTTTTCTTCAATCGACAATAAACTTCGGCAGAACTTGAATAGTTTTGGCTTTCAATTCCTCTCTGAGAGAAAACTGCATCTGAACCGGGCACATCCATACATACAGGTCTATCAACCTGCTCAGAGAAATCAACAATTTGGAATTCCCTACAATTGTTTTTTCTTGCAAGTTTGTTACTTTTGGTTTTAGGACTGCAACAAAGTGATTCCTCTGCAATGTCATCAGGACTGGAGTTAACACCGACTTGAGTAATTAACATTACACAAGAGTTCACAGCTGTTTGATCACCGGTTGAAGGAAGAAGTACTAATTCCGAATTATGATTCGGAAAACCCTTTGTTGATGCTTCTCTGTGCCAAGAATTTGTTGAAGCACCAAATAAGGAAACATTGAAGCACCAAATAAGGAAACTGTGCTGACTAATACTCACGGATATATTTATGGGGAAAATAGTCTAAACTCTAAAGAAAATTGCATTCATGTTTTCAGATTCAAGAAAACACTTTACAAATTGAAATCACTGATAAACAAATATGGAAAATGACTTAAGTGTTACTACTTTGTTAGTTTGTTCTGCAAATATGCTCACACAGACATGCTAGACCAATTAGAACACTGATAGTGCTTCAGAAGGAATACCAGGAGTTGAGATTGTCAAAATCTAAAGGCTACCTAAATTTGGAAAGAGGGACTGAGGGAGATAAACTTAATTGTAAACTCTTGAAAGTTACATAAATGTATGTTTGCACTAACAATGGAGTAGATGAGCCATAGAGTGATAAATTATTAAGTGAAACAATATACTACCTCCGTCTCATTTTATGTGTCTTACTTTGGTTTGGCACAATTATTAATAAAATGGTTGAAAAAGTAAAAGTTGTGGTTGAGATTTGAATATAATAAAGTGAAATGTTGTCGACCACATATTTGTTTCCGAAAAAGGAAATATGACACTTATTTTGGGACAACCCAAAAAAGGAAAGTAAGACAGGAAAAATGGGACGCAGGGAGTAGTATATTAGTACTGATTCACAAAATGTTCATAACATACCAGACAAATGAAACTTATGTATAACTAGTTATATGTGAAGTAAAAATCACTTGCAAAGAGTATCGATGAGCACATTATTATGAATATTTGAAGTATTGTTAAAAATTGCAAGTCGATTAGCAGAATAGCAGCAACCAGTACTTTATTACTTCTGAAATTTGACAAGTGTTTAGGTTATATTTCATAAACGGTAAAAAACAATTTCACAAAACTTCTTTAAATATGACTTTACATGCCTTGGAGCAGGCAGTGGACGAGCTCCAGGGGTGAACATTTTGACCATTTGGAACTAGTAAACTTTTGATAGGCAAATTGTCTGAGGAACCCATCAATTAGGACACACAAGCCATTAATTTATTTAATGGAGTACACTGAAGTCCAGGAATGGTTCTATGCAGGAGCATGTAACTATTAACTATTATGGAGCGACAGTATGTTTACCTAGAAATCCAATCAGACAAAGCCTCCATGTAAGGTATCATGTGGAAATATTTGACAAATGAAGTCACCATCCATCCGTTAGAGCTCCTCTTCACCAGGGGACCTTGCAAGCTTAAAACAAAAAGAATATTCAATATATTATACAGCTTTTTGCTCATTCACAATATCCTTTTTTGTTGAGGATTCTTTAAAAAATTGAAACTCACTAAAACAAAAATTTAGGACTCATTGCTACACGAGTTAATCAGGTTATGATCCCATCAGGGAAAATACAAATAAGGATGACATTATTTATTTTATTTACATAGTGTCTCTTTTTGCACCTGGATACGAATTATCAGCTAGCAGAAGTGAAAGTATGGAATTCAATAAGGTTACAATGAAATGGAGATTCAAATTAGATAAAGTATTGCTAGTCAGTCTGGTCAACAAAAGTTTGCTAATAGTTAATAGGATGTAGTCAAGTTACTACATAAAATACTCATTTTTTATTTTTTTCATGTAATGTTACCATAAATGGTCTCTGGTTCTGTGGTTCATAATCATTTCCAAGAACTCCAAATAGATTTATCTAATATGCTCCATCAATATATTCAGTGTTCGAGAACATTGAAAAGTGGTACCATGAACAAACCTTCCAATGATATCTTTAATATGAGGCCAAGTGTCACCATTGTTAGATTGAGTGTTTTGCATAAGATATAAGCGAGCAGCAGCCTTTGGTTTATTTAAGGAATATACAATATGGGTCTCTAGAACCACCAAATCCCTTTTACTGATGCCTGCTCCACAAAAAATAAAATTCACATTGATAAGAGCCACTCAAGCACTTCAGACTTGATTATAGATTTCATTCTTCACAATCTCTTTAATGAACTGAAAAATAATACAGGAGAAGATTCTTTAAAAATGATGCCTAGTTGTCACTTATATGATTCAGCTAGTGAAGGATCTGGTGAAATATTTAATTCCTATGCCACCCAAGGAACTAAAGATACATAAAGGGAAAGTGGAAAGGAAAGCTTGAGAATTTAATAAGCACCATGTCATTATAAGGCACTTATAAACTGTGACCAGTCAAATACTCAAATCCAAGTTTCATGAAATTAAGAACTAATAGACGTGTCATTATTCTTAAAATACCTGCCACATTTTTAACAGCGGAAAAAGCTAAATCCAAGAGCTGATCATTATCATCATTCTTTTTAAAATCATTCAATATTAATTCTGCAGCTCCTGTCTGTTTGTCTTTGCATTCTGATTCTAGAGTATTATGTACATGAATACTAGAAACCTCCAGATCTTTCTCAAGTATAGATATAACGCCATGGGTAATGTCACTTTCAAGTAGCATGCAATTTTCCCTCCTCGAGTTCACTAAAAAGACAGCAACTTTAGACACTGGCCACTCATCTGTGACGGGAACACTTTTTGACACGTCCAGAGATGTAGATATGTTGCATGCACAGAGTATTGCCTTTTCTGTTTGTGAAAGCTTATTCTCGAAATTATCCATCATAGAATAATCTGCTTGATGCATGAGTTTCATGTAAGCCATCAAGTTTGGTTTCAATACAATTGCCAACTTACAAAACGACGTGAAATCAAGAAACTCCGATTCTTGATATTGCTTTCTATGGTAGTAATTGTAAAGCAACACCACAGCATGCATCTGTCATGAATGAACAGTACATTAAATTCTGCCTCGGCACATTGGCATATAACATTACAAATAATGTTTCAAGAATCAGCACTTATATCATCCTCACATTATAAAGAACACAACACCATAAAGTAACAAATATAGCTCAAGTTTGAGCTTTACAATGGAGTTTAGCTAAGATGAACTCAAGTTCAGAGTAGGGTGAGCTCAAACTACAATTGATAATCGAATAAAATCGATAATGTCTTGATCTAGGCTTAAATGACAAACTCATACGCCAAGGCTCTCTCCGTACTGGGAAGAGAACGTAAACACTCAATCTCATCAATAACACAAGCTCAACGTTTGACACCCATTGGCAGAGTAAGGAGCATTACGTTTCAGTAATACAATTAAAGGCATTATCAAAAGTTCAAAACCTTTTCCAGAAAATGGAAAACAAGAATTGTTGAAATATTACCTGTTTGGCAACTGTCTGATGTTGGGAAGGAGTAGGGGTTTGTCTCGTTCGGCAGCTGGGCAAAAAAGGCTCAACAAAATGCTCCAACAAGGCCTGAACCACTTCCTCCGAATAGCACATTTCTTCCATCTTCCCCTTCCACATCACAAACGGACATGTCAATGCAGCACTAACTCGGAAGAAATGAAAAGTAAAGGTTGGCTTTTATGTTAAAAATTAAGGAAAAAGTACTAATGCCCCTAAAAGATTTGCGCTTCTAAACAATGCTTTAATCTTGTTTTCAAATGAAACCCAGAAAGCCATTATACATTACCGAATGAGTAAGCACTACTTGGTTCTTATGTAAATGGCGTCATGTGATGAACACGCGAAAGTGAAAAGACTCGGGGACTCGGGGAGTGCCATTTGGAAGAATAAAAAGCGACAAGAGAAGTGGATTTTACATGGGAGTTCCGAGACGGTCTTTCAAAAAAAAAATGTATTACCTCAATTCTTATTTTATCTTCCAACCCACTGGAACACAATTTAAGAAAAATGGGTATTGTGTGGTGGAGAGTTGTGCAGAGGAGAAGAAATGTGTAAGAAATGTTGTGAAACACAGATTCTTTATCAAAAAAGAAAAGTGGAAATTTAATTGGAACAGACGAAAAAGGAAAGTTGGAAGTTTATTTAGGAACGGAGGGAGTATAGAGTATGAGAGTCGGTGCAGTATAATAAAAGCATGACCTCAATTGCGAGGGAGTCCCTCTTGTTTTAAAAAAACAAGTAAACAACCACTATGTAAATTTTCTGTTTTTTGAAAGAAAAATTCCTTTGGTACCTTCTTATACACATTAGTACACCTCTGTGTCTGTGTTTGTGAAAGTTTTTTTTGTTTGTGAATCTCAATCGACAGACAAAAACCGACTTGTTTTGTTTGTAGAATTTTCCACAGACAAAACAAGCTGATTTTGTCTATGAACTGGGATTCACAGACAAAAAACCTCTCACAGATACGGTGGTACATTGATGTATATAAGAATGTGTACACCAACGATTTTTGTTTTTGAAATAGAACTAGAACTAGAATGAAAAAGGTTTTTCAGAAGGTATTTATCCTTTAATTATAAAAAAATTGCTTCTCAAAGTCGTTTGAAACACTTATTTTACTTGTTTGTCTCCTAAACATTCGAATATATGTTTCTTCTTTAGTTCTTTCTCATAGAAGTAAAAATAATTTTAAGAAGTAGATTAACATGCTCCTAATTTGCTTCCTCTACTATTTATAGTTTTGATATGTTTAATGTTGGCCTAATATCTTTTTAATCGAATGTAGTTTTGATCTAATATGTTTAAATCTGGTTTGGTCTAGTTTGGTTTGATCTAAATAGGTTTGGAAGTTTTGTTTGTATTCTGTGTATATTTTACAATTGTTGAAATCTAATTTGATCTGATTTATTGAATTCTGTTTGATCGGGTATGTTCTTGTTTGGGATTGAAATCAGTGCAATTAACAACAATCTAAGGGAGCGTTTGGTTCAAGGAATGTCAGATTACCATGAGAATGTTATATTACGAGTATGTTAGATTGATGGGAATGTTTTAATTTGTAATCCATTTGTGTTTGGTTATGATTAAGAGAATGTGATATTAAGTTGTTTGGTTGAATGATATCTTCTATTGCATATTTGGTGAATTACTAAAATGCCCTTTAAATATTTGTCTCTTAACACATTAAATTTATTACAACCTATAATTAAAGTAATTAAAATTATAGAAAAATAAAACGTCTTAAAATAGAGACTTTAGCCCTATAATCATGGACAAAATTGTTGACAGCAATGTCATAATTCACAACTAAAAAAGAACCCTATAAAAGGAATTTTTTAACTGATTCCTAAATTTTTCTTTTTACAATACAACAAGACAGACTTAGAAGAAGCTTAAAGAGAATTTAGCCCTATAATCAACAAATTAAAGATAAAACGGAGAAAAAGAATAGATTAAAAGCGGTTAAAGAAAAATCAAAAGAAGATTTAAAGAGGGAGTAGAAGAACACATACGGAAACTTGAAAAATAGAGAAAGAAATTACCTGATTTTGAAGATGGAGTTCCGAGCTGCGTTCAACGGATGAAGAGAGCTGCGTTGGGTTCAGTGGAAGAAGAGATCCGTTCGTATAATATTTTCCTCTTAGGGAAGGGGGTCAAATATGCCCTCGAACTAACTTAAAAAGTGCAAATCATCCTTTATATATGAGACTCTGTTCGGCCGTCGTCATTTGAGGCGGTTCCCGGTGGAATTTTGTGATAAAAATTTTCAGAATCTTCTTCATTAAGTCTAGTTTACCCATACCAAAATTCAGATAAAAATTCAACCGGAAAGACAGACAAATGGTTTTCTGAAATGTACTGCGCTTTTTATCTTCACAAATTCATTTGACTGCCTTCTCGATTGAACTTTTAGCTGAAATTTGGTATGAGTAAACTAGAGTTAATGAAGAAGATGCTCAAAAAAATTTATCAAGAAATTCCACCGGGAACCGCCTCAAATGACGACGTCCGGACAGAGCTTCCTATATAAGGAGTGATTTGCACTTTTTAAGTTAGTTCGAGGGCCTATTTGACCCTTTTCTCTTCCACTTATTAATGAAGTAGGGGTGTTTTTGGAACAAAATTAATGATCAACCGGGAATGTTTCAAAACCTAAGGCCTGAGTGGGTTTCACATGAAAGGCCATGTGATTACATTTTCACTTTTTAGGAATCTAACTTTCCCAAAAAAAATCAAAACTACGAACCAAACACATGTATCTCACATCCCGGGCATCAAATTCCGACCTGTATAAGATATGAAATCGAACCAAACGTACCCCAAATGTATGTTTAATAAATACAATCCAAATACAAAAAAAAATATACTTGGTTATCTATATATTCCGTATTTTATTATAGTTGTATTATGTATACACAAAATAAATACAAGCCAAATTCACAAAAAAAAAACTATATTTATAGTGCCATCTTTATTTTATTATGACTATAGCCTCCCATTTATGCCCCAAAACACGTGCACCGCCACTTCAGCTTACTGCCACATTAGCTTGTCGGAAGCTTCAGTTTCTATATTTTGTCTTTGATGAACATGCATACTTTCATTACTAAACAAACCAATATTTCACCATCTCCGGTTGTGCTTTCACGAAACAAATAAAAAATTCAAATCTTTCCCAAGGTTTGTCTAGAGCTTGTGTTTCAAACACTTCTAGTCGATGGATTCTTAATTCAGGTGTTTCCGATAATGTTTCTGGGAATTCCTATCTTGTATCAAACTTATATAAATCTTCACATTTACGGCATATCTCCCTTGCCAATAGACATCAAAATTCAGCTATGGAAATGGTCCGGCTCTTCCACAATCCACTTTTCCTAAAAAATTGTCTTGCATGTTCCAAATATTTTAGCAAAACTTTTCATTTTCTCAATTGTTCCATATTTTTCATATGATTACGTGATTGTGCAAGAGCATTATACAAGGAAAGTGATTGATGTTGGGCATGAATTGAATGGCCTCTATTGTCTTCATCCTCTTGATCCTATTGCATGTGTGTCGGTCGAGTCAACGATTACTTTACACAATTGTTTAGCTCATTCAAGACTCTTAGAGTTCCAAATAACGGTTCTAGGTTTTTCTTGTCCTCCTTCTTTAGATTGTGAGTCGTGTCATCTTGGTAAACAACCCCGTCAATCGTACTCATGAAGAGCCAATAAGAGAGCCACGTAATGCCTTCATCGATAATTAACAATGATGCTCCTTTGTTCTCACTGCGTATCACCTAGCCAACGTAATGCCTTCATCGATAATTAACAATGATGCTCCTTTGTTTTATCTTGTTTCCTAAACATGAATTATTTCCTTTGTCGTCTTGTGTCATTGAATGTGTTTGTTTTGCTTACGATACAACACTAGGAAAATAAAGGGGACGTCGTTGTATATGTTGATGACATTGTCATTATATTACATGTAACAATGAATAAAGAATCACTCAACTCAAGGAATATCTCTTTAGCAAATTCCAAACAAAAAATATGCAGGAAGCAAAAACATTTCCTTAACATTAAGGTCGCACATTCTTGCAGCAATATTGTCCTTTGCCAAAGGAAGTATGTGTTGGATAGTCTTGAGAAAGCATGTATGATGGAGTCTAGACCAGTAGATACGTGGATAGATCCAAATGTCAAAGTCTTACATGAATAAGGGGAGTTTTTATCGAACTGAGAGAGAGAGATAGAAGGCTCATTGTGAAATTGAACTATCTCACAATCACGAGTCCGAATATATCTTTCGTTGTAAGTGTGCTTAGTCAATTTATAGATAATCCATTGATGGTCACTGGGATGCAGCTATCTGAATCTTGAGATACATAAAGAAAACACTGAGTCAAGGGTTACTTTATGGAGACTACGGTCATAATAACATTGTGAGGGTATATATGGTGATGCAGATTGGACTGGATGTCTGGCACATAGACATTCTATTTCACAATAGTGTATATTGATTGGTAGAAACTTGATTTCATGGAAGAGTAAGAAACATGATGTCATTGTGAGATCGAGTGTTGAAGCAGAGTACCATGCAATGGCCCTTGTTGCATGTGAGATTTTGTGGTTAAAGCATCTTCTTCAAGAACTGAGGTATGAAAGAATGAAATTGGTGCAACTAATGTGTGATGACCAAGTTGCAATGCACATTGCATCTAACGTGATATTTCATGAGAGAACACAATATGTTGGGGTTGATCGTCACTTCAACCTAGAGAAGCTTTTAAATGAACAAATTATCACATGCAAGTTATGTCATCATGACAGATCAACCTGCAGATGTTTTAACAAAATCTATTTGAGGTCCTATAATAGATCATATTTGCAACATGCTTGGTATACATGCTTATATGCTCCAACTTGACGTGAGTTTCGAAACTCTAAACCTAGTTGCATTGGACTCAATCTACTTTACATAGTTAACCTTAGTCGTTGTAGCTATAAATATAATGTTTGTTCTTATTTTCCATTAGTTGTAAAATAGTTGAAAGTTATATTCAAATCATTAATTTTAATGGGGATGAAATGGATATAATTCAAGAATCAAGAATACAATGATTGAAATTGACTGTATTAATACTCATCAAACATACTAGGTACATGACTACATGCTACCCAACTATGAAGTGATATGTGTAATACCGGTGATTAGGTTCTCACAAAATATTGTTTATATTTCTTTTTATAAATTAGAGGAAACGGTTCAGCACAATCGATCTCCGATTAACCCTCCCATATGAGAGGTTTCGAATTTGAGACTCCATGGAGGGAGTTTCAATTTCTCTCGGGTCCCCTCAACCCCCTCCCAACCCTTGGGCTAAAAAGAATATAAATTATGATTATGGTTGTCTGTTTTTTATGACAATTCTTTTTAATCTATTATAGTATTTGTTCTATGTTAAGATCAACATCTTTTAATTGAGATGAAATTCGAACACATGACCTCCTTCTTGGAAGTGTCAGAGTGATGTTATTAAACCGCAAGGTACCTCGTATTATGATTGATTGATATTGATATCTTTAAGAACAAGTGACTCTTTATTTTCTCAAATGAACACCTAGAAAATTCCTTTTCAGATTTTGTGGGAGGTAAGGACTCCCGTTACATTTGTCAAGAGGAAAGTGTCATTTTAATACATGAAATCGTGGCCAATGGAGTAAAGAGTACCTGATGATGCAACCGAGACTGAAAAGTACATAAAATAACTGAACGAGTGTTAATTGGATACCAGGTTGTATTTAAGCATAACAAACGCCGACATGGCCAACAATTTAGTGATGTGGCAAATTTAAAGACACACTTAAACAACCTTAGCCTATTCAACCTTAGCAGCTCAACCCACCTCTTACATTTCTCCTAACCCAGCTCTTCTTGCTCCCCCCAACATTTCTCCCAAGTTCCCAACCTTAGCTGCACTCCCCTCCTTCCACCTGCACCAACTCATTTTAATGTTTCTCTCTGGTCTTTTACTTCACCAACAACCCATGGTCCTCAAACGCTCTACCCAATATTCTTCTTCTCCCAGTCCACGCATCAAACAACATCCCAACGAACAAGGCTTCCACGTCAGCAAGCCAGGCTAGGGTTACGACCCAACCCCCAGTCCACCTTCGCTTCGAGCCAGCGCCGCAGGAGAGGCGCGAAATTTGAAACGCTACAGTGGCGGACTGGACAGATGTGACAGCTTGTCTGGTCAACTCTTCGCCTTCTTTTCTTGTTGTCTTCTCCGGCGAAGCACCGGGCATCCTTCTACAGCCCCCAAACTAAAGTTCCAAATTCATGGCTTGCACATGATAATTCACCAGCATCCACCCACCCCTGCCAGGTTCCGGCAACCACCCTGGCAGCACCTGTGGGAAAAGTAAGCTGCCAAACCAGAATCCCCCACCCCATCTCTCACCTTGTTGGGCCAAGAAATAATTGAAGAAATAAATAAAGGTGGGCCCATGAGCTTAAGAAATACAAACCATTAATAATTGCCAACTCACTGTTTTATCCCACTTCTGATAGGATTAAGGGGGCGTTTGGAATTGATTCTTATTCTGCTTCTTTTTTAAAACAGAATCAGAATCAGTTTTCAGAAGCTGGTCACCCCCAGTTTCTAAAAAAACTGATTCTAGGAGTAAATTAGAGCACCAGAATCACTTCTGCACTTTTACACAAACATTCCAATTTCTGAAGGAGCAGAAACATTTTTAAGAATCAAATCCAAACACCCCTAAATTAACACTGATTGTTGTACCTATGAGTCTCCATTGCAACATCATGCACACTTTACTCCATTAGGGCATCCCCATCCATAGATTACTTTTGGGATTATTTTGATGATGTTGAGGATTTTTTTGGGATCATGGATGAAGAGTTTAGATTATTTAATGAGATTATTTGATAAAATAATCTTTTATCAAATTCTAAAGTTGGATTATTTTGAGATTATTCACAACTTTTAGGCTCCTCTCCCCATTTTCTAGGCAACTAATAATAACTAGCTCTTTAGCTCACGGAGGAGAAATTGATAGATTTGGAGAGATATTTTATGTGGAATTGACATGTCAATAAAAAAACATACTACCTCCGTCCCTTAAAATTTTGCAAAAGTTGATCGTCACGGAGAATAATATAGTAAAAATTGTGTGGTTGAGATTTGTGCAGAGGAGAGAGAAAAAACAGAAACCATAAAATAATTGATTAAAAGAGAAAGTGACCAAGTTTTTTGGGACGTCCTAAAAAAGATATACGATGGACAATTGTTCAATATTGACTTCTCAAACGGATTGCGGAAACGTTTTTCTTTCTAAGTCAGTAATTAGTGAACTCAGGGAATAAACATGGCGTCAATGGTGAAGCTGTGTGATTCCATTGCGAGGAGAATCCAATGCATGCAGCATCCTCTAAAGATTGTATTTCGTCGATTGGGTCTGGGCGCTAATAATGATCCTGATTTGAGCAGAGATTTTTTTGTCCAGCTATGGGTTGCAGATAGAAAGAAGCATAAGGCTGGCGCAAAATATAGACCGAAAAGTCATGGCGTCCTGAGCCATGGTGAATCAGGATCTTGTAGTCTTGTCTCTGTTCGGGGCTCATCTGTAAGGCGTCTCTCAGGGGTTTATGCAGCAGAGGAATCTTCCTTCGATGATCTAAAACCCAATCTCAGACAACCGCCGCCTAGCCAATCTGTGGGGGGTGTTCTGCAACCTTCATCACCTGAAGAGGTAAATGTTTCCGCACTCCCAATAGGCCAATATGATATGATAGTTTGGATGTAAAGAAAGTGGTATCAACACAGAGACTTTAATTTAAGCGTTGAGCATTTCTTGACTTGAAATTCCTTGAAAACTAACCTGCCTTCCCCCCTTCGTCCTTTCAGTCCATGGTTGCTCATCTTCTCGCTAGATCCAACTTGCTGATTACTAGAGACATAGAATGGGCAAATCTTGTTCTTGGCTTTGAGCAAGTAAGCTCTTTAATTATTTGACAGAATTTCCCTTGTGTAATAAGGTTAGTTGGTTCACCACTTTCTAATTTTTAGAGTTCAAAACTGTAATGACTTTGCAAGCTGCTCTGGTTAATGCTTATTATCTCATGAACTCTCTTTATTTTGGTTCCTTGTAGAGCATGTGTCTACTACACATGCACTTTCATAGTTTCATGTTGCCTGTAGGCCGCAGTTGATGTAATAAGATAACAATAAATGCTATTCCTTGTAAATCTTAGCCCTCTACTTCTTAATAGGAGAAGCACCAAGCACCATTTGAGTTTCTGGCATTCATACAAAAGTCAAATTGTTAGTCATATAGAGCTTATGTATGCTGCATACATTTGCTTGTTCAGTTTCCTGCATTCACACTAAAAGTAATAATGTTAGAGACCTAGAGCTTCTATATGATGCTTGCTCATCATTTTGATGATGACTCAATTAAAACTTAGAAAAGAGAGGAGAATGTGATAAGTCCAAGCACTTGAGTACTTTTAAGAAACATTCTCCATGTGCAGTGATGATTACAGCGATCATTTTTTGTACAAGCTGCCCAGAATTGATCAACAGATTTGTTTGCTTTTGCAAATGTTTTTGTAAGAGTTCACCAACCATCCTGATAGTATTAACTATTAAGGGTTCTGCTGGAAAAGTATTTAGTGTTTGAGCCATGCTACTTCTTTACTTTCTCAAATTCCTCGTAACCCGAGGGAGGAACTTCTTGGAGGGGGTCACGTGATGTAATACCTGGATGTATCATGAATCGTGGGGCAGATACCGGTTTCGATTAAATGTGATCAAGTACAGATTTAACCGGCTTTTGAGGGTCTCATGGGGGATTAGTATAAACCTCATGATTAGGTGTGTGACACTCATAACCAGGAATATATAAAAAGTCCCCCCCCCCACCCCAGCTTTTGATATGCTGAGTCTCTCCTCCACCGTTTTTCGTTGTCCTCTGTGTCTTGATTTTTTTAAAATTCTGATGAGGTTGTAATAATTGGTGCTACCTCTTGATTGTAGGAAAACAGATATGCTATTGTAGATGTGTGCTACCCACAATCGGTATGTACATACTTGCTGCATCCATCTCCAGATTTTCTTCTCACCTTCCTTTTGCTGTACGTCTCAAAATTACCTTCTCATTCTCTTTTTAGGAAATAAAGAATCATGTGGTATTTATTTTTCTTTTCTTTTAAAATGATTCCAAACGTACAATTTCACTTCCTTACTAAAAGAGTGAAAAAAAATGTGAACCTTAATTGGGAATGAAGGGGGTGTAATTTTAATGGTTTGGATACATTGGTTTTAGGCTTTCAGTTTTGATGGAATGCTTTTTATAACATTTTACTTCTGCGATTCCTACCCGAAATTGTCTTTTCAGCCTGCAGGTTTTATCCGCGAAAAAAGTAGTGTCATTGCAAGACAGGTATATTTTTGGCTCATTCTAAACAAAGTCTACACATGTTTAATTTTGTTGTTGTAAGGTTTGTGACTTTGTTATGTTCTTACTACTAGAAGTCCGCTGCTATTTACTAGTGGTGACATGATTCATTTTGTCCAAGGTTTCAGTTAAGACATTATTCAAGGTGGTTACTAGTTCCTAATTGATATGTATGTGTGCATGCACGCTTGTGTGTGCTCGTGTGTGTATAAATGTATATGCACATACTTATATATATATATATATATATATATATATATATAGGTTTTGGTTCAAATAAGAACATGATCTTATGAGAAAAATGAGAATGAATCTGGACCGTTAGATTTGCTTTATGTGAAATTCAATGTGCATTAGATGAAGTTGTAATGTGTATTAGGTGAAATTGAAATGTGCAGCACAAATGGTACAATGTAGTGGCATTATGTGAAGCTAAATTGTGCATTAGGTGAATTTGAAATGTGCACTATATGAAACTAAAACTGTCAAATAGGTCCTCGAACATTCATAAAAAGGTCAATTAAGTCCTTCTATAGGAGGTTCTGTCCGGCCGTCGCGATTTGGGGCAGTTGCCGATGGAATTTTTTGATGATTTTTTTTGAGAATCTTATTCACCAAGTCTAGTTTACTCATACCAAATTTCAGCTAAAAATTCAATCGGGAACACATTCAAATTAATTCTTGAAGATAACTGCGCATTTTTGCGTTCTTGAATTAATTTGAATGCGCTCCCAATTAAATTTTTAGCTGAAATTTGGTATGAGTAAACTAGACTTGATGAATAAGATGTTCAAAAAAAAATCAATCAAAAAACTCCACCGGGAACCGCCCCAAATCGCGACAATCAGACAGAATCTCCTATAGAAGGACTTAATTGACTTTTTTATGAAAGTTCGAGGACCTATTTGACAGTTTTCCCTAAAAGGTACGATGTGATGTTATTTTTGTACCTTTTATTCTGCACATTTCAGTTTCACCTAATGCACATGTGAGTTTAAATTTTAATTCTGCACATTTCAATATCATGTAATGCACATTTCGGTTTCACCAAATGCACAATTCAGTTTCACCAAATGCACAATTCAGTTTCACATAATTCAATCCAACGGTCCAGATTCGTTCTCATTTCTCTCCTAAGATCTGTTCTTACCGGAACCGCTCCCTATATATATATATATATAGGGGAAAAATCAAGTACAAACTGTGCTTATTGTGCAAATGTTTGTACGATGCACCTTGACGTTATTTGCATTGCATATTGAGGTTCAAAGTGTTGCATATTATATAGTCATAAAATAGCAGTTGCACATTTACGTTCAATGAGTTGCACCCTAGAAAAGTTAGGTTTTATTACAAAAATGCCACCTTGCATTTATATCCTTTAGATCAACTCATCGGATGGCCAAGATAAGTTTGTACTTTGTAAATTAAGCATGATTTGTATTTGATCTCTATTCTATATATATATATATATATATATATATATATATATATCAATAAATATACACATTTGACTTCCATGTATTGTAGAGCTAAAAGTGAGAAGACTTGAAAAAATCACCCTTAATGAAAAATAAATTAAAAACATAAAAAACCTTAGGTCCAGGCTGCCTGCTTCCCATTGCTACTGCTGCCTCTAATGTTGCCGACGCTGTCCTGCGATACCACGCCGCCACCTTTCAGTGAGACTACTGCCTCTGGCCTATGGCCTCTAGCAAGACAGCCGCCACCGTACGTCGAGCCTTACCCCCATTCCCACCCTCCTGTGAGACCACCTCCACCACCCTCCCATCAGACCGTCAACACCACCCTCCAGAGAGGCCGCTGTGTCATCCGACACCGTTGCCATCTCCTCTACCACGGCCACCTCCTATAGTCAGTCACTCAGTCCTATGGCGTAATTGCCATTTTTGTAAAAAAAAAATGAATGTCATGTTAAAATAATAATGACACTTTCGTATAAAACATGGATGTGAAGATGTAAAATTGTGTCATTTTCAAAATGTTAAAAGATGTCTTAAAAATAAACATGGCATCTTTTAAAAAATGACATTATGTACTGCCATGTTAAAATAATCATGTCATTTTCATATAAAAATATGGCATTTGTGGATGTTAAAACATGGCATTTTCGTATCGAAATGACATCTGTAGATGTAAAAAATCGGCAAGTGGGTTAAAAAAATGTCATCCTGTCAAATGTCATTAATGCCATAATAGTGAATTATTTTCAAATCAGTGTAAGAAAACAGCAATGGTGGCTTTTTTAGATTCAAATTATAAGAAATACAATCTGAATGCTTTAAAAAATAAATCAAAATTAATAATTAAACAGAAACCCAAAAGAAGAAAAATATAGAGGAGTGCTAAAAGAAGCAAAAAGAGGAGCCTGAGGAGAATAAAATAGAGGAAGAAGATTACCTAGTTTTAACAGAGAAATTGCAGAAGCAGAGTGCGAGGTCGCCGGAGAAATCGCAAAAGAGTGGTGTGCAGCTATGGTTGTGGCGTTGACGAGCGAGCAACTGCGGTTGCTGGAAATCATAGGTTGTGGATGGCAGAGAAATCATATATGGTATCACTGGGTTGCTAGGCGGCTGGAAATCGCATACGAGGAAGATGGAAACAACAAACGATTTTGGGGGTTTAATTATATGAAGGGTAAAAATGCAATCTGGAGTCCTTTTAGGGAATAATAAATATAAACTCTTATTTAGAAACTTTGACAATGTTTTAGTCCTATTTAGTGCAAATTTCAATTAATTTAGTTAAGTTTAAATCAGTACTTAATTAATTTTAATTCTAGTTCATGTGTTCATTTGATACAGTACTCCCTGTGATAATTTATATCAAGCATTTAAGTTATTTTGATTATCACCAAACGTAGTTTAGAAAATCATCACTTTCATATCGAAAAAACTTCCAATAATTAGCGATAACATGTGACTATAATGAAAGTCAAGAAACCGCTCTGCCATTCCTTTGAGGCACGATACTTGGGACTAAAATTTTCCACCCATGAAGGTTTAATTCCATTTTAATACATCGTCGCAGAAGCGGTTATCACCTAGACTGGTCCAGATTGACCTGGATCGGTCACAAAAGGGAAAAATTGGGAAAACATGATCTCCACGTTAATTCTATGAGTTTTTTTACTTCATTATCTAAAGTCCAGAGGGTTGCCTTTGGTGGTAAATAGGGCTAATATTATTGTATATAATATATTTGTGTTGTTTTCTTCAGTTTGATAGAGAATAGTGAACACACAATCTTCCTACCTATTTCTCTCTTGGCAAAAATTTCTAAGATCCTCCCGTGTCATCAGCCATGCTCCCTTTGCACAAAAAAAATTGGTTAGTGTTCCCAACGACCTGATTTTTCTTCTAAAGATCTGATGTGTTTGCTATTGTACAGTTGCTTCGCCTCAGACGCCCTTTTGTGGCTAATATAACTGATGGTCTGGGTAATGAGCTTTTTAGGGTAAGAATTTCAATCGCATTATTTCTACACATTTAAACTATATGGGAATGTAATATGCTGCTACTATATGAATATAATATGCATTCTCAGATATGAATATCCTGAATCCTGAATATTACCTCCCATTCTGATTATAATCAGGTACGAAGACCTTTTTGGTGGATCACTAGCTCTATTTATGCTGAGATCAATGGAAAAGTATGCGATTGGGAGTCAATCTATTGAAATGTTCTTTTTTATATCACCTTCTCTCATCAATATTTGCTTGGCAATGTTATTGAAAAGCATTTTTATGTAACTGCTCTTTTTTCAGGAAATAGGTGTAGTCCACAGAAGATGGCATCTCTGGAGGAGAATATATGATCTGTATTTGGGGTAATATCATTTTCCTCTGAATAATGTATATCTTTTCTGCTCAGCTATTAACAACATTTCCAGAAATCAAACGCCAAATGTTATTTTGACAAATTGTTTGATAGATTTTGATTGCATAATCTTGTAAGTTATGGTTTCTTTCACCAGTGGTAGCATCTTATTAGTTTCTGACTTAACTAACCTTCTACAACTACTAGTTAATTAACTTCTACGTAGTATTTCTCACCTAACAGGAGACTAACTTTTTATGAGGATTTCTTCGAGTGCAAATCTACCATAAAAATAACTCTTTTTTGGTTGGTTAAACCAAACTATTTCTTTTAATGCATCATAATATGCATGATATAGTTGTGGGCCTTGTGGAGCTTGACATCCTAAATGCTAACGCAAGTCTCAAAGTAATCTTGAATTAATATAGGACTCATTTTTGTTAAAGTAGCTGTCTATCATGTTGTAGGAATGAGCAGTTTGCCGTGGTTGAGAATCCTGGCTTTTGGAACTGGACGTTTACATTAAAGGACATTGATGGGAATGTGCTGGCTCAAATAGATCGTGACTGGAGAGGATTTGGTTTTGAGGTTATCATTATTTAGTTGTTTACTATGAATCTATGGCCTCTCTTTATCGTGTTTGAATCCTCACTTGGTGGTTGATGGTTTTAGTCTATAGCCACCAAGGTATACAACTGGTACATTTTTGTTTGGTACATCTGAAAAACAAACTGGTACTAACATGTGCATAAAAAGAATGTAGTCATAGATTCACTGATATATCAAGCTTACACCCATCCTTACAATATGTAGGCAACTACATGAAGGCCAATAGAAAAGAACATCAAATGTTATGAGGAAACATTTGCGTTAGAAGTCTAAGATTATATTTGGATCCAGGAAAGTGCTAGGGAAAGGAAAATATGCCAAATAAAGCATTCTTCTTAAGCTTAGGTTTGACTCAGAAATTGCACAAGAAATCATTTTTTTGTATATTTAGATTAGTGTTTGATTCTGTGCTTTAGAACAGGGGTACGGCTGCGTATATCCGACCCCCCTACCCCACCATAGGTGGGAAGCCTTTGCAGCACCGGGTAATGTTGTTGTTGTATTTATGTTTAATAATAAACATAAATAAATTGAAGTACCAACTGGAGGCACTTTGCCCCTCAGGAAACTCATATTTTCAACTGCCATTGCACTACATTCAAATTGCGCACTTGATTGTTCCACCCTTGCTTGGTTTCTACTATCGCTAGATATCAAAGTAATCAAACTACCAGCACAAAGTGCACAATACACAATCGTTGATTATGTATAGTCTACATCTGTATAGGCAAAGAGTCAATGTGTTGACAATTCTAAAATTACAACTCAGTACCTGGAAACTTATTTTTATATCACAAGATCCTAATGATTGCATACCGATGTCCTCTCACATAGAAATTCTAAGAAATGGCCAGCAACACTCACTGCAAGTGAAGTATCACGACAACTCAGAGATCAGTAAAGCAACTTCCCTACGAACCTTCGGTACTTTAGTTATTTACACAGATCCAGACAGTGGTTTTCTCTGTTTTGGTAGTAAGAGCAGAGAGAAGCATGACAAATAATGGATGCTCTAGCTGATTTAAGCTATAGTAACTCTTCTATAAGGATTTTACTTGGGGAACTGTGTGAGGAAAATGCCTTTCTTGGCCATCTGACCAAGGATTTTACCTGCTTAAGTGATGTCCTTCAAAATCACTTACAAATAATTCTTGACTATCAGTTACATACCGACTTCAGTCCTCCATTTAATACTTTGTTTAAAAGGCGCCAATTAAGAGGTCATTTGAGTAATTTATTGTAGCAATCCTGTATATGTGTATTAAGTTAAATCATTTCATTTCATTTCATTTTGTTTTGCAAAAAAGATCTATTTAATAATTTCTACAGAAGAAAAAATACCTTTTTCCAGCTCATCAAAATGATATTTTTCCTCATAAAGGAATAATACCTTGGCTGCAGGAATTGCAAGTTTACTCGAATAACCCGTTAACTGATGCCATTTAAACAGATTATCGATTTGCCTTTTAGCTTAGGTAGGCTGCTTAGCTACTACGCTCACTTCTGCTGAAAATTCTAAATTCATTGTTCTGGAAACTACATAAGAGGGGGTCCCCGGGGGATGGATAGCAGAACTAGAGAGTTTCATCTAGAAAAGTCACTGAAAAAGTGTTAGGATAATGGGCTTACGAGAATAATAATAATTAAGTGTGATAGTGTAATAGAGGGTCCTGGGCCTGGTAGTATTTGGCCTTGACTGGCCCATTAGAAATAGAATAAATAAGGGTGAGTGGTGAGTAGATGGGGAGGCAGAACTTGGGATCAGGACTGGGATATTGGGAGTGAGAGACCACTCGAAGAGTCTCAAACCTTTCCTTTCATGACTTTCTGTATTCCTTCACTAAATGTTCATTAATAAACTACTACTTTCTTCTTGGATTCTTCAGTTACTTATCAAAAAGGCTCACATGTTAGCCTGTGATGACGAGTCTGTTGAATATTTGTCGCACTTGTGAGCTTACGCAGAAGTTTATGGTGACCAGAAAAGCATTGATGGTTTGCCCATGTTTTTAATGATGATTGAAAGGCGTAATTCAAAGAAAGCGCGCACACCAAAAGAAAAGTACAAAGTTGGGTGCTGTTACTGCTCATCTGCAGTATTTGCCAGGAAAGAAATTCAAGCCATCAGCATTGCCTCTGGTCCCATGTACAAGAAGGGATCATATTCACGATAACATCTTTACGATACTGGAGAGCATATTCATTAAATGAGATGAGAATAACAATGCCTTAGAAGTCTATGTAGTTATTAGTCACATGCTTTTAAAGTACCACTATTCAACTTCGTCCTCAGTTCATTCTAGCATAATAAAGAAGAAACCTGATGATAATAATCTGTGCCTTGCAGATTTTCACTGATGCTGGCCAGTATGTGATCCAATTTGGCAAAGCTGATTCCAGTAATGCTTCAGTTGGAGGGGTAAACATGTTTATGGATATTCCAACGTATGTAACTTCTTGTTAATAATCGTTTCAAAACCATGTCTTTTTCTCTTCAATGTAGATTCGAGAGTTAGACGTTGTTCATCCACTAACCCTCTTGGAGCGAGCAGTAGCTGTTGCGCTTGCTGTATCACTAGATAATGATTACTTCTCAAGACATGGAGGCTGGTAAGAACTTTGGTGTTTATATTTGTCTGCCAATAAATGAACTGCTTCGCTCTGCCTTTTTACGGGCATGCCAATCTGGCACTGCTTTGGAAGAAATGTACTTTTACATAATATTGTGTGGATCACTACTAAGTGATAAGAAAAGGTATAAAGAATTGACTATATTACACGTTAAAATTTTGGCTTGATTGTTACATATCATATACATAGTATGTCACTATCTTGTTAAAAAGTCTTATTCTTCGTTTTACCCAAAAGGGGCAATATATTGAAGTGTAACTTTGGGATGACGTTATGATTTTGGATTCCCTGGCAAACTTTGAACCAACAGATTTAATGAAACTGCACATGGTAGTGCTCCCATATTTTGATATCACGTTTCAAAATCCATGGGATCAGTCTATTCAACACCTTAGTTTCCATTATGCATGTGTTTTCCTACACTTAAAGTTCTGGTATAGGAAAACTATCTATATTTCTTCTCTTCGTTTGATTTTTTTCAAGGATCTTTCCCTCCTAAAAGCTTTGGGCCTTTTTCTTGACATCTGAACTACCTTGCTTTCCTGGATGTCCCATACATTATGTTTTTTGATTTTCTCTACATGTCTCTATTCATATTGAACTAAGATAACCACATTCTATATTTCTCAACCTCACCAAGGGTAGACTGCCTAGAAACTCATCCAGTACATTGGTGGCCTTATATGAAAGTGTAGTCAGCATCGTAATATTAAATAATCCAGCTCTTTATTTATGGCCAGCATAATTTTGTGTAAGATTTGCTAACTTTTGTGTCAAATTAATGGCAGGGGGATTCCGTTCGTCGAAGTGGGTGAATAACCTCTCTATGTTCTGACTGCTTGCAACCCATCTCCTGAAGGCAAACATTGCAGTGGGAAAAAACATAGTGTACGTCGACACATTTTTTGTACAGGGATAGAAGCAAATTATAAATTCTTCTTGGTTTGGCAACTTTATTAACTCCTGCAAATGAAAAATTCTTCTGATTGATTGCATTGATTATTGACTAATATTACACCAGAAGTCATCATTGATCTAACTGTCAAACCTCGATGATGCTGTCCACACAGGGTGCAAATTTGTGAATTTATGATTGTTACCATTATCATTAACGAGGGCAAATTTCACTTTTAGTCTTTTGACTATATTGGAATACTGGATTCACATTTTTGTCTTGTCTTAGATTTTATGTATCAACAACAAAAGATGTTCCCCTTTTAGTTTAAGATGTCAAAAGTAACATTGCCAAATTAGAATAAGCAAAAGGTGACAACTCCGGTACCTTTCTAAAAAATGGGGCACCATATCTATCATTCATTTGATTGGATCACATCATTTTATCATTTTTAATTTAGATTTAAATAATTCAACTGCTACATTTTCATTGGTCTATGTGGATAAAGGTATGGTACTTTATGAGTACCATAGAATCTACCTAAACAAAATAAATTGACCGTGCTACCAAAACGGATATTTTGTCCTTTCATTTTGACTTTTTCTTTTTCACTCTGCGTTTTCCAGGCAGGATCTCTTTGAACTAGCGATTACATCACACTATTCTGCAAATACTTCACCATAAGGGGTTTCTGATGTGTTCATGTCTAAATTCTAAAGATCAATTAATGACATGATTTTCATACCAAATGAACATTTAAGTTAATGACATGATTTTCATCGCTTGTATTGAACCTGAAAATTTAGAATTTATATTCATATTAGTAATAAAATTAGTGTAGCTCGAGTGGGCAAATAACCGGGTACCAAAATCGAGACTGGGTCGGGGGACAGGTACAGACTTGATCGGACAGTTATCTGGGAGGATGCAAATTGAGCTTTGATCTCACTCTGATTGAAAGAGAGTGGGGTTTCATCCCAAGTTATTGTTTGGAGTTAAAATCGGGATCTCTCCCTCTCCAAAAGCTATATAGCCATTAGGTAAGGGAATGTGGGGTTAAAGGGTGGGTGGGTTGCAGAACCAGCCCTACTTTGTCTTGGTACATCCACCCCTACTGCCTATTGGGAAGGGTAAAGTTCAACATTAAAACAAGAATTCTGCATTGAGGCTGATGGAACAACTTCCTTAACTTCTGAAATCATGGATTCTCGTAGATATTTAACTCATTCTTAGTACATTAATTTTCTGCAATTGTCTCTTCTCCTCACCAAAGATTTCCGTGGAATTTTTGTTGTCTTCTACTTGTCACAAGAACACATACATCTGGTTGTAGAACAACACCTGATTTGGTTAATTATTTACCGAGATCACAAATCGAACAACAAATCCTGGATTGGTCCTGGTCGGGTCGGGAGGTCGGGAGGCTAAATTCCGCTTTTTATCATTTTACGATAAATAAAGTTGAATAAGGATAATCAACATGAATACCGATACACAAGATAAACTAAAAATGTGGTTTTTTATATATCATCTTATGAAGAAAAATGTAGGGATGAGATCGATCCAGTTCTTGAAAAAAATATCGATTCTGTTCTAGAAGTTTTAGAAAAAAACGGTATAGGATTTGATAGTATTATATCGGTGCAATTCTGATATGTAACAGTTAACCATTAAGAGAGAGAGAAGTTTAACTATTAATGTGTTTCATTGTTAAAGCGCTAACACGTAAAAATATAAATTCAAATTAATAAATGTTTAATCGCAAATAAGTAAACAAAATTTAACAAGCTAAAAATGAAGAAAACAATTACACCAAAGTCATTTTGTTGGTGGTACATCGGTTCAACGACAACGACAGTGAACTCCGGTGACGGAGGCAGACGACGGTGAGATTCGGGCAGATCGTAAGCGGCGACCTAGGTGAAAATTCCAACGTACGGCAGCATCGGTCCGGATTTAAAAGTCTATGAACTTTTTGAAAGTCTATAAACTTATTCATGAATTTAAAAGTCAATAGAATTCATTCATAAAAAGTGATTATGGATTTAAAAGTTCATGGATTAAAAAAATCCACCACAATCCATATTCAATACACCCCCCTTAATCTTTCAATTTTATAAATTCTCAAATGTATATCAAGATATAACCACTCCAAAACCCAGCATCCAAACAGACCCTAAAGGTATGTTTTAGGAGTTTTGGAAGAGGAAGGCTTTAAGGTTAATCGTAGGAGTAGAACGTGAGAAAACCCTTCATGTTTGGAGTTACAAATTTGAAAAGGTAGTCTTTGATGGATTCAAATAGTTAAACTTATACTCCGTATTCATTTCAAACTAAACTAAAATTATCATTAAGTTAATTATCCTTCAAAACCCTCCCAAGCAAGAAAGGGAGAGACATAAACGCTCATCATTCTTCACCTCCACTTTGAAACTTAACTCCCAAATATACCCTAAAATGAAAACCGCGTTTGACTTTCTTTACCCTGCTCATCATAATATTCAACCTTAGCATGGGCCTTCGCATCTGTAAAAATTGTCTTCTTAACTACAAGTTCTTCCAACAAAGGGATGTTTTCTCTTCACTAGAAGAAGTGTGAAGGTGTCCAAAATCTTAACTTAACCTATAAAACCTCCACTTCGGAAGTTCTTCAATTTAAATTTTTTTCAAGTTCTCGAGAGATAAAAGTTAACACATAACCTAGGTTCTTGTTGCAAAAACACAAACAAACGATGCTAACTAATAATTGAACCTACAGTAACCTAGGTTAACCCCCCAAACAAACAAGCCATAAGGGTATGTTTTGGGAGTTTTGGGAGAGGAAGGGTTTGAAGATTAACCGTAGGAGTAGAATGTGAGAAAATTCTTTATATTTGGAGTTACAAATTTGAAAAGATAATCTTTGAAGAAATTATAATTAAAATCCATTTTGAGATGTGGTGGATTCAAACTAGGGGAGGATTCGGGCCGGGCCAAGCCCGGGCGGGCTGGCGGGTCTGAATAGGTGGACCCGGGATTAGCCCAGGTAGCCACTGGGTCCGGTCCGATTCCGGGCCTGGCCTTGGGCTTGGTTAATTTTTTTTGCTTACCTACCTATCCCTGACCCCCCCTCCCCCAAACCCCTCCTAAACATCAAGCCCAACCCGGGTGGAGCCCAAACAAATGAAAAAACAAAAAAAAAAATCAATTTGGCCCGAGCCCGACCTTGTTTTGGGTGACCTGAGCCTGGACCGGAAACCTCTCGGATCGGGCCTACCCAGCCCGGTCACTGACCGGGCCACCGGTTCGAGCCAGGAACAGTGCCGGTCCCGGGCCGGTTCCGGATCGGGAGACCCTGCCCGAGTCCACCCCTAATTCAAACAGTTAAACTTATGCTCCGTATTCATTTCAAACTAAACTAAAATTATCATTAAGTTAATTATTCTTCAAAAGCCATCAATTTGAGGGAACACAAATATTGAGCATTTGAATTCCCAAGCAAGAAAGGGAGAGACATAAACATACCCTAAAATGAAACCACATTTGATGTTTACCCTTCTCATCATAAGCGTTCAACCTTAGCATGGGCCTTCGTATCTGTAAAAACTGTCTTTCTTAACTACAAGTTCTTTCCTTTCAAAAAAAACTACAAGTTGTTCTAACAAAGGGATGTTTTCTCCTCACTAGAAGAAGTCTGAAGGTGTCCAGACTCCAGAGGATGCCTTAGCCATACAAACAAACCAAAACATTACACAGTATACTTTCTGCTCACTTAAAGATGATAGGATAGTAATATCCCTACAATCACAATTATATATACATACATACATACATATTGAACAAAACCATTATGGCATTATTGGTGTTTACATCATGAAGCAGCCGTCAAACAAAATCTGTCAACTAATTCAATCTTCAGTATACGATGATGGATCATTCAAATGGTTGGCTGAAAAGGGGATCTGGTGATTGAACCACAATCGCGAGATAGTTGATTTTAGCCAAAGCTCTCAATGATCAATTCTGTTAGATATAGTACCCAACCTGGAGATCAGCTTTGCAACCGCCGACTCCTTTGCTTCTGAGGAATCAGATTGCTGATCACCATCACAAGAGCATTCAAAACTCGTTCCTTTTATCATAATCTTAACACAAGCACCACCTGATAGAGATGTTATGCGCATTTATTAGTTATAGCCAGTACTACAAAACGAGGCTTGAGAAAGAATAGAGAGTAAAAATTCCGTAAATAACTGAGAAACAAAACTAGCAACAGGTTTTCACCACACCAGTCTTTCAAGCTATAATGTATCATAGCAATTGTTACCCCCGCCCCCATTAATACGCATGTTGCAGTGCTCTCTTGTGAATGTGTAAATTTTAATAATGTTCTAACATGGTTAAAACATTCAGGCTTCTAAGAGCATCTCCAATGCTAAAACGTTAACGGTGCATACGTGGCATGAGAAACAACCAATTAAAAAACAATAAATAGAATATCTCTCTTCTTATTTGAAGGATCTTACATCATTTTGGTAAAATTTTCTTCACAATGTCAAGCACAATGTTTAGATGTAGACATTGTGGTTGATATTGCAAACAAAAACTTACCAAAAACACATAAGACCGTGGAAAGAATGAGAGAGAAATGTCATAAAATCAATATTTTGTGTCTATCTCTCTCATGCCACATGTCGGCACATTGTAGCATTGGAGATGCTCTAATTTTATAACTACCAGAATGATTACAAATTAAGGCTTGCTGATTACAATCAGAAAGATTATACTCCGGATTAAGGTTTTTGGTTTAAAGACTATCATAAGGAATACAAATTAGCTTGAAGACCTCAAGTTAAAATATGAAGGCTTCTAGTAATAAATTGGAACTTTAATGTTAACTTTACTTTGCTGGGAATACAAAACTAGGTTGGTAAGACGTATAGTCATGCACACAGACTAAGCAAGTAATTTACTTTAAAGAAGAAAAAGAGAACACGCGCACAAAGTGCGAGCAAAAGTGGAGGAGGGCATGAATCCATCAGAATACAGCGCTGGGAATATTCTACGAAATCGAGACAAGTGGGAAAATAAGAAATGATTAAGAGAAGAAAGGAGAGAAAAAAAACTTACTTGGAAGAAGACAACATGCGTAGAAAAGGAGAAGAGTTTAATTTGTGATAAATACGAAGAGAGCGAGTGCTTTTAGACTCTGGGAGTACTACGCAGCAGAAGAAAACTTACGGTAAACAAACCGTCAAATTTACAGCAATCGTTGGGGCACAAATATCTGAAGCGAGGAAAGAGCGAATCTGCCGCGCGCTACATATCTGTGCGATTTCTTCATCGCATCTCTGAGCTTTGCGCCTAGTGCGCGCTTTTTTTAAACTAAGAATGAGAAGGGGAAAAGGCGGTTGGTTTTGTCTGACCTTCGACACACATAAACTAAAGATGTTTTTGATTGGACCCTAATTTTCAAATCTGGTCAGAACTGTTTGATCCATGTTTTTTATAAACTGAGTATCTATTTAAGTTGGTCTGGAACTGAACAAGTCCAATAAAAAACATCCATCTCCAAAAGTATGTTATTATTAATACTCCGTATTAAATAAATAACATAAGAATCTGTCTAGAACTGAGCAAGGAAATATCAATCAATAATCAATAATAGTTGCTTGTTTTAACAACCAGGCAGCCCACTCGGCTCAACCATTCAGCCACGGGCAGTGTCATGAACATCCGAACCCAACCCATTATGTTCAATGAGACCTGGCCCATCTTTAAAATCTCTCTCTCCACCTACTTCATTGATACGTGCAGACAAGGCATGCTCCATAACATATGCTCCTTGCAACTCTCTTAATGCTGATTGCAGGTGAAGCTTTTTCAATAAGGGTGAGCTCAAGAATATGGTTACATACCAAACTAAATATCTTGACATGACCATAAAGAATGGGAATTTGCCGTTTGTACACGCCGGTTGTACACGGAAGATATTTTGTCTGTGCACACACAAAATACCTGGCGTTTACAATGGCATGTACAACCGGCATGTACATGAAACAAAGTTGTAAAGCATGCATGAAGTGCAAGTTGGCTCGAGAAGCTCAATTATATGAAAATGTCTCACCATGGGTTGAGGAAAGCCTATATGTCGGAAGCCTCCAGCCATTTGTAGAACAAATAGCATCCAATTCCTACCAAACAAAACTATTAGCTGGCTTGTATTATAATATAACACAATGGATCACAAATAACTGTATTTGACATCGGATATAGGACTGGTATTTTTGAATGCATGTCTAAGTAATAAGAATGCACAAGCTGTTCATACAGAGGTAAAATAATGGCATCGGGTTATTGATGCAAAAGAAAGATTCTCAAACGTATATACTTGATTGTTTCGTGTTAAATGCCTGAGCACCATCTGATAATCATAAGATACAAGAAAAAGTAGTGAGATGAGAAAAAGTAGTGAGATGAGTATTTGATTTTTTCCCTTTGTTTGGTAGAGGACAAAAAAGAGAGTGGAGAATAGGACGAGATATCATTGATTCTCTTGTTTGGTTCAAGAAATAATTTAAATTTGATGCCTAACATTTGTCCCCTAGTGTGAGAAGGGATCTCCTAATTTCTATCCATGCATTTTTCTCCTACCAAACAAGTGAAACAACATACAAAATCTACCTATTACGGAGTAATATTTTTTCTTTTCCATCTCTTTCTCACCTATTTCTCTCTTCTCTATTTTTCCCTAAACAAAACAAAGGCTACATGTACCCAGTAGTCCAGTACAGTTTGAAATCAAGACTGAACAACAGACAAATAAATAAGTGCTTATGTAGTGTAAAATGTATACTCTCATCCTTACGCATATATTCTAAAATACTACAACAATAGTTATTACCAGGGTACTGGTCAGACTTAACTTGCAAATATACAAGTGCCGATTGATGTAATAAATACCGGTAAATACCAAGTCAATGCAAAGGGAAACGTTTGATTTTATATAGTTCGTGTTTTGGATACAAAGTGTAGGAATAAATAAAATTGCAGAACTTTCTTTTGTTTTTTGGTATGAAATGTAAGAATAAGAATTACTAAGGCATCCGGATTCACCTAAACGTTTATTGTTAGTGTGTCCAACCTTGTCAAGACAAACTAGAATTGACTCTTCAAAGGTTCTTTATTGAATATTACTGATGAGTGATGACCCTTATATAACTATTAAAAGAGATAAATGTTAATTAAGAAGTTGCCTAAAGCAGACATAGGAATAACAATAATAGTATTAAACTAATAATAATAATAATAATAATAAATAATAATAATAATAATAATAATAATAATAATAATAATAATAATAATATAAGGTTTCCTCGCTCATATACACTCCCACCAGAAAACTTTGTGTTGGAAAACTAAAGAATAAACTGAAAACTAAGTAACAAATGACTCTGATACTATGTGAAATATATGAATCTAATTCTTATTCATATTTTAAGAGATTCCAACAATAGCTATACTCATAGCTATGACTAGGGTACAACTAGATCTAACTACAAAAAGTGGGTTGAGCCCAATATTTAGGATTTCAACATGTACTTTAAAATGGTTTGGTGCTGCATTGTGACTAAACATTAGGCTGGACAAAAGGAAGACAAGATTCCATGAAGGGGACAGTTTACTCCATAAATAACTACATAAGAAACATTCATACTTAGATCAATGAGTAATTTTGAAACCACACACATGGGGACTTTCACATCCCAAAAGGATGACATTGGGCCCCAATTCTACAGTATAGTGCCATTAGCCCTTCTTTGGTCACAAGTTAACAACTTAGTAGACAGAGTCGAGACAAAAAGTGAGATTCCAACTAAGTGATTCACAGATTCAGTCATTTTCAAGATTTAACATGAATATGTACTTTGAGGATATCATATGTCATTGTAGTTAAAAAAAAATATTAATCCAATTAGATTTGACTTTAACAGAGGACATTTAAACTAACCTCAGAAAAATTATGTTTGCGTGTTCTTCCTTACCGACAAAGAAATTACAAAAGTGAACACGGACTGTGATATAAAAAATGGAATATGAATGTCTGAGGCATACATAGCTAGGGGAGGTTAAATCCGGGCTCTTTTCTTCCCATGTATGACCGAAAACTTTTGTTCTCTGGGAAATATTAAGTATAAAAGTTTATATAAAGGATTTATTTTCAGTCCACCCCAAATTTGATATTTTGGCAGCCCTAACTCCGCCAGTGCCAATCGGATAGCATTTATAATGTGCAATATAAAACACATATAAAATGATCTTTATCGTGCAATACTTGCCTGGCTTGCAGGTCGTAGTGAGGGAGCAACACCTTCATTTGTCCTGCTGTTCACACGATGAAGATAGGCCAAGTCTATAGAATGTGCATGCTGTACTTCTTGGATATGGGTTTCCTTCAAGCACATTTCATCACAAAAACTGTCATTTTTTTGTATTTCTAGTGCCAAACCATCTTCCCTTCCTGCATAAAAGGAAGCATAGGCACAATAATATGAATCTCAATGAATAGATATATCGCAAACAGCCAAAGAGTGTAGTTTCCAAAAGCATTACTAGGTGTTTATGAGTCAACCGGTTATACAACCACAACAGAGGGAGGTTTAGTAAAGTACAAACCTATCCACAACTACTTCTAAAAAATACAGCTCACAGCCTGCTTACCCTACTAGGTCCTACTTTCAATATTTGGCCCAAGGAACTTGTGTACGGAGCAAATAAAAAAATTAGAAGTAAATAAATGTCAAACTTTGCTAATTGATTTGGCATGCATGGGAAAAAGATTCACAAATAGGCTAGGAAATAGGAACGCCTCCCCTATCTTGACTTCCTCACCGAGAATGACAAGTTTGACTAGACAGGGAGAGCCTTTACAGGAGTTACTATGTCTAGTTCAGCGTGGCGGAGGGGAGGGATGAGATTTTCATGTTACCTTTTTTGAATAGATTGGAGAGAGGATTTTAATGTTATGTTGTTTGGTCCATGAGCGAAGATGAGGGAGTATCAGATATACAGTTTAGTTTTATGATTATAAAAAAAAGAGAAATTATAATAAACTATAGTAATATATTCATTTAGAAACAATATTTAAACATATTTTAAAAATATGGCTTAATTACCACACATTCTTCAAAGTAATGTGGCCATGAGTTTGAGATTTGATAAATATTCTTGCTAAGTTTAACCCTTCTTTGTAAAAGAAGCAAACTGCATGAGCGACTTTCACAGACTTTGAGCAAACATGGCATGCTAACAAGGCACATTTTACCTAGATGAACTTTGACCAAAATTGTTTTGAGACCTGATAGCTTCTCAAGAATTGGGTAGATCACAAAATTCGTAAGGACATGAACTTTTGTAATAATATTAATGCAAGACTCAATAATAGTGTAAAACAAAGCTATGGGGGATGTTTTGCAGGCAAAGACAGAAACTTAAAATTACCAAAATACCAAGATAAGCTACAACTAATAATGCCACCCTTCCCACTCCCCCAGATTTGGAGGGTACACTTTAACCTTAGTTTTAAAAGGCGCGAGGCGGCACGAGGCGTTTTCATTGATTTACCCGAGGCGCTAGGCGCTAGGCGACGAGGCGCGCGCCTCACGGATCTTAACATCATATCTTTGGTAAGATATATAGTATACTATTTCTAGTCTTCTACATGAAGCACTCATCTCAAAAAATGATAACATCACAAAAATACTTCAAACTATTAAACAATCTTAACATACATCATAAGACAAATCAAATATTTATTAAGACAATAGCAAGAAATAAATATCAAACGGCATCATTGGCAAGAGTCAAGTCAGAAAACTCAATCTTAAAATTTCAAAACATAATTAATAAGATGTTATATAAAAAATTGTTAATAATAAAAGCTGTCTTATATATTTGTTAAATAAAATCAAATATTTAGGTACCCTACTCAGCATGATCTAGAACAGACCAACAGAGGTAGTAACACTACAATTTCAAGGTAATAAAATATAAAATAATACATACTTAATTAGTAAACTATCACACGTATAAGAGAACAAACTGTAGAAGAGAAGAAATAAATACTTACCCGCGACTACTCTGTGACGCGAGAAAGTAGCGGAAGAAAAAGACTTGCGAGTCTTGCTACGCGAACAAGAAACAGGACCGCAGATGTGGGAACTCGGAAGCAAACCAAACGCAGAAGGAAGAAGGGAGAAGACTAGAGACTCAACCGCCAAAAGAGACATCCATGATGCGTGAGAAGCGCACGCCTCTCAGAGGCGCAAAAGGCGTCAAAAAGCGCCATATAAGGCACGCCTCTTGGAACCTATGCCACCTGGGGGTGGAAGATGCGATAACGTGATCGCCTTAGGGCGCCTCGCGCCTTTGCGCGCCTCAGGCGCGCTTTTTTAAACCAAGACTTTAACAAGATAAGTAGGGACCCCCAACCCCTAACAAAAGAAGAAAAAACAATATGTGAATGAATATGACTATTGCCACTTAAACCATGAACATGTGATGCATTATAAGACAGTACTGCAAGTGGTGTATAATTTATGGGTCAAGATCAAACAACTGAACAAGGAAACAAATCATACAGATTCATGTATTAAAATCATCTTCAATTGCCAAATATGGCTTTATTTTATTTCTTTTGAGAGATTTCTTAACTATGTGAGAATCGCATTTTGTTTCTTTATTTTTATACTTTCTTTTTCTTAACCCTCGTGACCCCTAACAAAATAAAAGGAGATTTCTTTATTTAACAATATAAGCAAGAATGGTTTAAAGGAAAATTGAGAACTCTCAAAATCCCCAAGTGTATTTTACTTGCATATGTCAAAATCGTGTTCATAATCATGTCACATGATGTGCAGTCATTTTTATAATCTCAACTCATCGTTGTCTCTCTTTAGTCTTTACATTTTTAATGCAAGTGAAGAGGACCTATATTGTGATAATTTTGGGCTTTCATTTCATTAATCCTTCTGGAAAACTGTGGTGGACAAGCATCCACTGTAAAAGTTCTCCATTATGTTTTCTTTTAGAATTATAATTATAACTAATTTTAAACAATTAGATGAAACTATAAATTTCATGTTACTAACACTGAGGTAATTGAGATTAAGGTTCACGGTGATGATGCTTCATTATCGTATTCACTACATCATCATTAGTCCTACTTTTATTTACTTTCCAAATTCCATTTACACTCTTAACCGCACTAACCACCTTCATCGCACATTGGTGCAAACCATGCCTCAAGAACTAACAAATTTGTTTTGTTAATGGGTGTTGACACAGATGTGCTAAAAACTCCAGGGTGTAATTCACGCTCTTCACATCTTCATTCAAACATGACATCCTCTGCCAGAGTTAATATTTGAATTCAAGGATTGGGTCCAACCACTTTCAAGCAGGATGGATTACCTCGTTAAGTATAGAGGAGTTCTCTACATAGGAGGAAAACATAGGAAAATTCCTCAAATGAGACCACTATTAATTTCTTCCTAAAATATGATTCACTCGATCATACAAGAGGGAGATTTTATTGTTTTACTCTTTTACTAGGACTCCTAATTTGGGAATAAAACATAATTAGTTATATTTTTAAACTTTGTCCATGATTTACTACTATTTTGAGCAATTTCTTTCAAATACCAGTGTTGTCAATCCCGGTAGCGAAGCGGCCAACCCCGAAAGTGCTATAGCAGTATAGCGGATAGTGGGATGACCGCTATTTAGACAATATATGTGCAAAATACATATTACATGTATGCATGTAATTACATGTCATGCTCATATCAAATCCACAAAATGATAAATCACAAATGTGTTACTCAAAATCTAAAACGTCATCAAATTTATACTTACTAAATTACCAACCAAATAAAAGGGCATTAGTGCAACAAAAGAAACAATTAATTTAAGTAACTTACCTCTAAACATTAAAAAATGATAATTAAGCTCCTGATAACTCTTGATAAATTAAAAGTCATCAATATCTCATTAAAAATCATGGTTGTTGGGATGCCTTGAACCACCTTAACATGGAGCTGTACGGTGTAGGTTACGTTTGATCTTGGTTTCTCTTTTGATTTATTTTAGTAGGGTTATTTTGTCCCACACGTGTTTTGAAGGGTGTAGTGGAGTTATTTTTTTAAACATATAAAAGTAAAAAATACTCCCAAATTCCCTCAAAACTAGCACTGAACTAGCCCTATAAATAGTAGTGACACTATATCGCCCACTAAAGCTGCCATTCTTCCCGCTATAGCGCCCACTACTGGTGCAATTGCCAACCGCTCCGCTATAGGCAATCTGATAGCACCTAGCCCCCGCTCCGTTCCACTACAGCCCGCTATTGACATCACTGTGAATACGAATCTTTGAAGACTAAACTCGTTTTTTCTTAAAAACGCCTTCATATTACATACCACCATTTCATCGTGTTGTGCCCATCACTTGCACGTGAAAAGCAAATCACATTGACATTTGGAATTTTGATTCATAGACACTTTCATGACCACACATGGTGAACATTTCTCAAGCACTCATTTAACTATAATTTTTTCTTGAATTTTGATTCGACAAGCTGTGTGACACCGCTAGGTACATTTCCCATACCCAAGCTTTAGGATAAAGATAGACTTCATGAAGAATATTGATGATGCACTCCAAGGAAGTACTACATCGGTGTATGAATCATGGATCAAGATAAAATAAAATGGAAACAAATTGTGGGGATGAATTCATTTTAATTACCTTTGACTGCCATTCTGATGTTCTATTTATTTCTTTTACGAGCTTGCCAAATATGAAACCCGTGTCTAAATAAATGCAGTTTCTTTGGGGATGAACACAAGCAATAATTATTTAAGGAAAAAAGGACAACTGACGAAAATCACAAAGTGCATTTTAGTATTTTACTTGCATAATCATTATCGTGCGCACTAAATCATCACTCATCCCACATCTATTAATTTTAAATTCCATGTGCACTGACTGCACTTGTAACAATGTTCAGCACTTCTCATTTGCTGATGTGAATTATGCCTCAAGAACGAATTGATGGGCATTTGTCGACAAATGTTAGCATAAAAGAGTGAAAATGAAATTTTAATGAACTCCATTGAGACATTTTGTATTAGTTCAGTAGACAATCCAATTAATATTAGATTAAGGCTTGGTTGTTGTTAGGGGCGTGTTGACATCAGCATGCCAAAAACGACAGAAGTGAAGTTTGCTCTCTCCACACCTTTTGCGAAAACGTGGATCTTATGCCACTCACAGTCGAACTCAAAGATTAGGCCTTGGCACTTCGAATCATTATTGAGAATATTGACAACCTCATCAAATATGTGGTCTCGTTGGAGACCGAACTTCCTTCCCTTGAAAATGCCTCAATCAAATTACCACCATTTCATCAGAGTGTCTGCATCACTTCCAAACCGTACAAATCGAACATATTACACCAAATGGGAAGTTCCCAATTTCAAAGGCAAAAAAAGTCATGTGGACAAATGAGAATTATGCGTAGTCGCGTAGACACTTCCACAACCAAAGATGCTCATGATTTCTCCACGCCTGTGTCTTTCAATTTTTCTTTTGGTTTTATCCAATGAGCTGCAGTACTTCACTCTAAGACTTAGCGAAATGGAAACATGGCAAGCATATCAAGGAACATGTAGATTAGTTTCACCAAGAAACAGTAATCCACTATGCACATTTCCCAATTCAAGCTTGAGGACAAGCTTGATGTCATGAAGGGGGTTGATGAATCATGAAAGTGCTACAAGTGGTGCACAATTCATGGTTCAAGACCAAATACGGTAGCAGATGATGGGAATTGATTATATATGACTGTAAATTTGGATTTTCTTTTCCTTCCTTTGAAATGTGTGTTATATAAATGGGTGCCTAAGTGCCTTGCATGTTTTATTCTTTTCCTTTTTGGCAAGGCTTGAACCTTGTAACTCTTATCAATATAAAGAGGTATTCTTTGTTTAAGAGAATAAGGAAAAATCAAGATGGAGGGAAAACACTAAGAAATAACCAAGTGTGTTTTTTTCTCTCTCTATCCATCCAAGTGTCTATTATTACATCATCAATCATATTTCTATTCACATTCCCAATTACCTCTACACCCATGGTGAGCTCACCATCTACATTCACCGCGCTGATGCAAATCATGCCCCGGAAACATAATAGCTTGATCAAAGTTTTAGGGGACACCTACCAGTAACCTTAATGCTACAGAAGTTCAAGTATTAGAAGATGGAAGTCAATGGAAGCCACCTTGTAAACTTTCGGTAGTTTGAGGACTTGAAATTCAGAATGCCATGATAACCGACAAAACTACTTATCAAATGGAATTTTAAAAATAAAGTTAGTTGTTATTTTGTCCTTATTCAAACGCTAAAATAAGGAACGCTTTTCGAGCTTAACATCGGTTTCCGGATCATATACCAGTAAGCTTTCTACTGACTTTGATCAGCACTAACACCACTAATCATAATGGTATTCTAATCATGAAAATCTACGCTGCTAAACTATGCATTTCTAGCTTGAGAATTAAAAGCTCTCGGTTGACAAGATATATGTGAAACACTTAAAAGAGTCAAGTTCTTCCACAAGTTAAATGGAGTATGTTGAAAGAAATTAAAAGTAAAAATCAATAAAGATTATATAACAGTAATGATATGGTACTTCTTGGGTTGGAATAGAGTATGACTTTGGAGAGAGCAAAGTGGATGGAGAATATGTGTGTGAAGGATTGATGTGTCAATTCATGTTAGCCGACCCAAACACTTCTGGGACTAATGCTTGGATGCTGTAATTGTTGTTGTTGTTGATATCACAATAATATATTGAAAAAAACCTGAGGTGTCAAACCATGCAGAAGCAAAAAAAGATTGTGAACTAAAGGCAGCTAATGGAGACCATAGATAGAAATCATACCATCTAAGACTTCAAGGATACTTTTGTCTAACAAGGCAATTTTCTCTTCTATGCAGCGTTTCTTATTACACTGCCAACAAGAACAACAGAAATGAACGTTTTTATATCCAAAAATAAACTCCAAAAAAGCTATTGATATGGCTGATATGCATTTTAAAGGGCACACTTGAAAGGACAGCTTAAACAGACAACTTATAATTTTAGTTTAGTGAGTGAAACATATAAAGTTTAAGAAATTTAATTTTTGTATAACATTAAATGTTCTTCTTGACTTACTTTCCATTTCAAGTGAGTATATGCTTTACTATTTAAATTGAGGTGTTAGCATTTGATGGTTAAATCAAATAGAGAAAAGTATGCTTACCCTCCCCAATCTTCAATGTATTAACATTGGGATCTAGGTATGTTATTATGGTCTAAGAGTTAAGGTATACTACATCCACAGCTGACCCACCCTCACAAACCCATCTAAATAACAGGTTTTTTAAACCCATATTGTGATTATTGTGCATCGTCATCAGTAGCCCCTTACTCCCAACTACTAGAGGTCAGTGGCATGAAATATATAGTTCTGATTATCTCTCAACATTAGCTAACAGTTCAACACTACAAATTTGTACAAAAAAAACAAATAGTTGCAAATTTGTGACCTTTTCTCAAAAGAATAATGAGATGCTATTCCAAAACAAATATAGATTATTTCCACTTGCATTGGAAAACCCGTGATAAGGCAATTAGTTGAGATAAATGATATTGAAATATCCATTACATGGTTCATATTGTAAAATCAACAAGCAACAATGCAAGACATAGAACACAACTTCTGTTCCCCATGCATATACAACTTAAACTATTGATATGATGACATCCTCAACGCAATTTGTGATAAATAGGTTCAAGTGAATACATGATTTAAATATTTAATTATAGTATGTTAATCCCTCAGTCCCACAAAGTATGAGACAAGCTAAAATGGCACACAAAGTAAAGAAGTGGGAGCCATATCACATGGCCAAATATGCTACGAGACGAATATTTTAGATGGACCAACATAGTGAGATGAAGAAGTAGTAAGTGGCTATTGAATGTGAGAAAGAAATAACAACACAACATCTAAAATCATATATAAGTTCCTGCACTTTCATATATTTAGAGTATTCCTAATCCGAGCCTCTTAAATGCAAATACTTTTACTGCTCTGCATTAAATCTTCAGCACATATATTTATTAAAACAATTTGTATGATACCTTATGAATAAAAAATATGGTGCAGAGGTTCTAGCAGTTGCACAAGCAAATTAAAAAAAATTGCCTCATTTGGTTGGATATTATGTTCCTTATCCAAAGTATTCAGCCATAATAGACATTATTGCTACTTTAAAAAGTTCACCTAGACAGGAAACGTATATCATTCTTACTTTTCCTTTATTTGAATAGGAAATGTTCTGGTTGCAGATTGAGCCATTTGAAAAGTGAATAAAAGTAGCAAAAAATTCTAGTAGGCCAAGCATGCATGCATGTCTCGGTATATTAAAGAAGAAGTGATGCAGATAGGCTCGCTGAGCAAATCGAAAAGGAGCTGGCAGATCGAGCAGCCTAGTGTTTGGGCCTCAAATTTTATGTTTTATTTATTAATTTCCACTTTAAATTTTCATAATTTACTTCTTGTTGGGTTTGGGCCTTAAAAGCCACACCCAAATAGTATTTAAGCTTTCCAAGTACGTTAAACCAAGGATACGTTTTGATTAAGCAAATAAACCAGGAGTCTCTCTGTTTTCGGTGGATTTCAGAAGAAACCTTTCGAGTTCGTTGCTGGCGAACTCAAACATCAAATTCGAGGTTATCAGTTTAATCTCGTGCTTCTTTGCTGCGTCAGTTTGGTATCAGAGCAGGTTTCTCCTGTTCTTTTCTTGGCTGAAACAGTATGGGAGATCATCCAATTACCCGAGCAGACCTTGATGGATTCGCCACCAGGATCACTGAGGCTCTTGCCGCTATGATCACCCAGCTATCTGCGCAGATAGCCACTCTCAGTAACGACGACCACACTAGGCGACCGGGAAATAGGAGAGAGGGTCAACATAGGCATCCTCGACATGGGGGAAATCGGGTAGAAGATAGTTTTGAGTCCGAAGAAGAAGAAGAAGAACCCATAGGCTGTAATGATGATCAATACGATATTACGATCGCCGGGATTACAGAGTGAAAGATGATATCCCTTCGTTTTATGGAAACACTGGAGTTGAACAATTTCTTGATTGGCAAATCCATGTTGATAGATTTTTCAATGTTATGGAAGTGCCGGAAAGCAAACAAGAGTTGGAGGCGTATGAGGCAACGGATGATAGAGCGTTTCTTACCGGCAGATTATGAGCAAATTCTGTACAAAATGTATATTGAGTGCGCTCAAGGCAGGAGGAGTGTATGTGAATATACAACTGAGTTTATACGTCTGTCCGATCGCAATGAACTAGGCGAGACTGAGGGGCAGAGGGTGGCTCGTTATATCAGCGGATTAAAGGGTTCAATACAGGAGAAGATGGGTTTGCAGACCGTATGGAGCATTAATGAAGCCTCTACGTTAGCTCTGAAGGCAGACCTGATGGAAAAATCTCCTAAAAAATTTCCATCTTTTCGCAAGTTTACATCACAAAACACTCCGGAAACAGCGAATGAGAAGGAAAAGGAGGTTGTGCCTAAAGAAACGCAATCTGTAACTAAAGGAAGCAGTACCACAAGCAATTATAACCACGGACCCGGCAAAACACCGACTCAGAAAGCCGCTAACCCATATGCTTGGCCCAGTGGAGATAAATGCTACCGCTGTCAGGGATTCGGACATAAGTCCAACGTGTGTCCTTCCCGGAGAACAGTTGCTCTTGCTGAGTATGAAAATGAAAAGGAGCCTGATGAATATGAAGGTGCTGAGTTTGCTGAAGAAGAAACTGAGGAGAGAGTGAATATCGTGGTCCAGCGAATTTTGTTCTCATCCAAGGAGGAAGGACAACGGAAAAGTTTGTTTCGTGCCCACTGTTCTATTAAGAATAAACTGTGTAACCACCTCATAGTGGATAATGGAAGTACTGAGAATCTAGTATCCCACAAGCTAGTAGAGTATTTGAAATTGGAAACAGAACCACACCAGAAACCCTACGCTTTGGGTTGGGTGAGCAAGGGTTCACAAGTGAGGGTATCACAAACCTGCAAGGTCCCTATATCTTTTGGGAAGCACTACAAGGATGAGATTATGTGTGACATTTTGAATATGGACGTGTGCCATGTGCTACTTGGTCGACCTTGGCAGTATGACAATGATATCACATATCGGGGTCGTGATAATGTATTGATGTTCACCTGGGAGGGGCACAAAATCGCTATAGCACCGGTAGCCAATTTCGATAAGGATTCAAAAAGAGAGAAATCTAGTTTTCTTATCATGGCTGATAACATAAAAGAGTTGGATACAGCCATCCAAGATGTCGAGTGTATTTATCCAGTAGTAGTGAAGGGATTGTTGAGCGCCGTCAAGGAGAGTATTGAAGTACCGAATGAAGTACAGGCCATTTTGAGGGATTTCAGTGAGCTTATTTCTGAGGAACTGCCAAACGGTTTACCTCCTATGCGCGACATTCAGCACCATATTGATTTAATCCCGGGTGTCGGGGTTGGGGGGCCCTCAAGGATGGGGTGTCATCCCTTGATTTAATCCCGGGAGCCAGTTTGCCTAACCTTCCTCACTACCGCATGAGCCCTATGGAGAGCGAAATTCTAAGGGAGATACTTGAAAAACTGTTGAAAAAGGGGCTTATCAGGGAAAGTATGAGCCCTTGTGCTGTTCCGGTTCTTCTAGTTCCTAAGGAGAATCAGTGGAGAATGTGTGTTGACAGCCGGGCCATCAACAAGATTACCATCAAATACAGATTCCCAATACCGCGACTGGAGGATATGCTTGATGAGTTGGCAGGAGCTAAATTTTTCTCAAAAAAAGATTTACGCAGCGGCTATCACCAAATTCGGATCAGACTCGGGGATGAGTGGAAGACTGCTTTTAAGTGCAAGGACGGCCTCTTCGAGTGGCTAGTCATGCCCTTCGGGCTAACCAACGCCCCTGGCACATTCATGAGATTAATGAACCAGGTTATTCGTCCTTTATTGGCTTTTTTGTGGTAGTTTACTTTGATGACATCCTCATTTACAGCAAAACTAAGGAGGAACATTTGAAGCACCTCAGGCAAGTGTTACAAGTCTTACAAGAAAATCAGCTATATGTTAACCTAAAGAAATGCATGTTCTGCACCAACCAATTGCTTTTTCTGGGTTTTATTATTGGTGAGAACGGGGTTCAGGTAGATGATGAGAAAGTGAGAGCAATTAGAGATTGGCCAGCTCCCAAGTCTGTCAGCGAGGTACGCAGCTTCCATGGGTTAGCCACTTTCTACCGGTGCTTTGTGCGGGATTTCAGCACTATTACCGCTCCTATCACTGATTTTCTGAAAAAAGGAAAGTTTTGTTGGGGCCTTGAACAAGAACAGAGTTTTGCATTGATCAAAGAAAAGCTTTGCACTGCAACAGTTCTTGCTTTGCCTGATTTTGATAAAATATTCCAAGTTTAGTGTGACACGAGTGGCATCGGGATAGGTGCTGTACTCTCGCAGGAAAAGCGGCCAGTGGCTTTCTTTAGTGAGAAATTAAGTTAAGCCAGACAGAAGTGGAGTACTTATGACCAAGAATTTTATGCAGTGTTTCGTGCTCTCAGGCAATGGGAGCATTATTTGGTCCAGAGGGAGTTTATTCTATTTACTGACCATCTTGCCTTGAAATTTCTCCACAGCCAGAAGATCATAAACAAGATGCACGCACGATGGGTGAGTTATCTGCAGAAATTTCCTTTTATTATTCAACATAAGTCTGGGATTCAGAACAAGGTAGCCGATGCTTTGAGTCAAAGGGCTTCCTTGTTAATCATATTAGCCCAGAAAATTATAGGTTTTGAGTTGCTGAAAGAGTTGTATGAGAATGACACCGATTTCCACGAATTATGGACTAAGTGCCGTGATCTTCATCCGAGTG